GAAGGAAATTAGAAAATTTCTTAAAACAAACAAAAACTGAAATATAATATACTAAATCTATGGGATACAGTAAAAACAGTATTAAGAGGGAAGTTTATAACAATACACACCTGTATCGAAAATGTAGAAAGATTTCAAATAAACAACCTAACAATGCATCTCAAGGAAGTAAAAAAGCAAGAAAAAAACACATCCAAAATTAGTAGAAGGAAAGAAATAATAAACATCAGAGCAGAAATAAAAGAAATTGAGACCAAAAAAATAAAAAAGATCGACAAAATGAAAATTTGTTTTAAAAATACAAATTCAACAAGCCATTAGCTAGACTACCCACTAATAAAAGAAAAATACCCAAATAAATAAAATCAGAACTGAAAAAGAAGACATTACAACTGATACCGCAGAAATACAAAGGATCATTGGAGACTACTACGAACAACTATACGCCAGCAAATTGGAAGACACACGTGCACTCACGGGCACACATGGACATGCTTCACATGCCCAGAACACACACATTCATACACACACATTGACATGTACACAAACTCACAATCAGACACACACACACACACACACACACGCTTGTTCCTCAGCATTTCCATGGAGATAAATCATGTATACATGAACCAAGCAGGTCAACCAAAATATGTATCATGAAATATCCAATTTGATGCAAATTACAGGAAACCAAAAATCATACATGCTTAAATCATCATGGTCTGAGGCATTAGGTGTCCTTGGTTATTCTTTATCACTCTTCCAGCACCTGTTTCCTTCGTTATAGTTCAGCACATGTTCAATTTTAAAGGTTCTACAGTTCTGAGTGGGATTTACTCATGAACACATGCAAGAACCATCCCTACCACCATGTCCTCCCCAGGACTCGAAGAAACGCTCAGATGAGATACTTTGGAAGGCTGACATGCTGCTTCAGCAGGTAGGGCTCAGACTCATAGGCCATTAGGAACCAACCAGAATTCCCAGATGTGCTACATCTTCCCAGCTCGTAGGCTTTCCTGTACCTGGACCCTCAAATACTATCCAATCCCACCCCTGATCTGAGGCTTCCTCTACTCCATTAAAGGGTACAGATTGATGGGCCCATCATAGAAAAAAGCCATCCCCTCAAGGTTAAAAGTATCTGACTCAAAACAGAGCCCAGACTCCCATTACTGCTTCTGCTGTTAGACAACGATAACAACAACAGAAAGACACATAAAAAAATGCAAAAGAAGAGAAAGTCCAGAAATATAATGTCAACTGATGTTTGACAAATTTGCAAAGGTAATTCAGTAGAGAAAGGATAGTGTTTTCAACAAATGGTGCCGGATCAACAAAACAACATATGCAAAACAAACAAACAAAAAACCTCACACCTATACAAAAGTCAGTATGGATCATAGCCTAAATGTGAAACCCAAAATTATAAAACTTCTAGAAGAGAATGTAGGTAAAAATCTTTATGGCCTTGGGTTTGGCAGAGATTTCTTAGCTATGACTCCAATAGCACAATCCATAGACGAAAAATTAATAAGATGGACTTCATCAAAATTTTGAAGTTCTGCCTTTTGTAGACACTGTTACAAAAATGAAAAGACAAACCACTTACTGAAAGGAAATATTTGCAAGATACATATCTCATATAGGACTTGGATCCAGAACATATAAAGAACATTTAAAACTCAATAAGAAAGGAAAAAATCCAATTTAGGAACTGGGGAAAAAGATCTAAACTGACATTTATCAAAGATACAACAGTGGCACATAAGCACGTTGGGAAATATTCAATATCATTAATCATTAAGGATACCACTGCACAGCTATTAGACTAGAAAAAAAGAAACCTGACAATACCAAATGCTAGTGAAGACAAGAGCAAATACTGTCACGGCTGTAACTCCCATGCATTGTTGGTATGAAAGCAAAATTACATAGCCATGCTATGGTTTGAATGTCCCATCCAAATCTCCAAATGTTGAAGTGTGATTCCCCAGTGTTGGAGGTGGGAGATGTTTGGGTCATGGGGGTGGATCCCTTATGAACAGATTAATGCCTCCCTGGGGCAGCAGTGAGTGAGTTCTTGCTCTTTTAGTTCCTGTGACAGCTGGCTATTAAAAAGAGCCTGGAACCTCGCCTCTCGCTCCCTCCCTCGCCACGTGATCTCTGTGAATGCCAGCTCCCCTTCGCCTTCTGCCATGACGCTCACCACATGCCCAATCTGGAACCTTCTGGCCAGCAGAATAGTAAGCTTAAAAAAAAATCTCTTTTCTGGATACATCACTCAGCCTCAGGTATCCTTTATAGCATCACTAAATGAACTAAGACAATCCACTTTGGAAAAGAGTGTGTCAGCTTCTTATAAAGTTAAACATACATGTATTGTATGACCCAGTTATCCCACTGTAAGAGAAAAACGTATGTTCATTCATAAACCTGCAAATAAATGATCATAGCAGCATTATTCGTAATCACGAAAAACTGGAAATAACAAAAATGGGAATGTTAATAATAAAAAGGAACAAGTTACTAATATACACAACAACACAGATGAATCTCAAATGTATTATGCTAGTGAAAAAAGCTAAACTCAACTGAGCAAGAGCGAGACCCCGTCTCTACTAAAAATAGAAAGAAATTATCTGGACAACTAAAATTATATATAAAAAATTAGCCGGGCATGGTGGTGCATACCTGTAGTTCCAGCTACTTGGGAGGCTGAGGCAGGAGGATTGCTTGAGCCCAGGAGTTCAAGGTTGCTGTGAGCTAGGCTGATGCCACAGCACTCTAGCCCAGGAAACAGAGTGAGACTCTGTCTCAAGGGGAAAAAAAAAGCCAAACTCAAAAGGCTACATTCTTATGATTCCATTTATATGACATTCTGTAAACAACAGAATTACTAAGACAAAAAATAGATCAGTGGTCACCAAGGCTGGGAGTGGGGTAAGCCAGGAGGGAATTCTCAGGGGTGATGTTATTGTTCTATATCTTAATTACTATAGTGCTTATAAGACTGTATTAGTTTGTGAAAGCACCCCAAAGGGGTAGATTTTACAGTATGTAAATTATACCTCAATAAACCAGACTTCAAAATAATAGCCTAGCTTAACACTAAGGTTTAAGATCTGTTGAGATGGGAACATAAAAATCTTGAATGAATGAGCACATTCTGGCTGTGTCAAGCAAGTTAATTTCATCAAATGGACTTAATTGCAATTTGGGGTTTTTTTTTGGTTTTTAAGTCTGTCACAACTGCTATACAATAGGAATCAGAAAGCCTAGTTTCTGCCCTAATTCTGCCAATTAAGTGATACATGCAGTAACAATCTATTTCACTTTATTTTTCTGCTTCTAAGTTTACTATCTATAAAATGAGAAAAAAACATTCCTAAACTCAGAGTGACTGTAGCCATCCAAAGAGATCATATATGGAATATATGGGTGCAAGATGGAATATATACAGTGTCCACCAACCAAATGTAGATGCTATATAATATTACATCAAATTCAGTCAGTGCTAAGACTGAAATTTCAGCCTTAATAAAATTCTGTCATTACAGATGGTAACAGGGAAGGGAAAAGGGAAATTCTCTGGAGCAGAATTAAAAGGAAAATAGACAAGAGGAATCACGAGTACATAAAAAACTGGGATGTTTGCTAAATGGGAATACATTGGGCCTTTGGCCTTTTGTCAATTATTATCTTCTTTGAGGAGGGGCACAAAGACGCCGTTCTCTAAGAGAGAATATTGCAGATAAATATTTTTGTATGTTAATAAATGCAATCATTTTGTAGGAAAAAAATTAAAACACTTAGCAAGTGCTTGCTATGTGTCAGCACTAAGTTTTACACATCATGAACTCATTTAATATTCGCGAGAACCAAAAGATGGCCCACCGACTGTACTTTGGGAAGTTATTTTCTAAGAGTCATAGTCCCAAAGCTCCAGCAAGTCCCAAAATAGTGAGATACAAACATTTCAATCAGCAATGCTGAATTTGAAAGCATTCCTGAGGAACCGCTGTGAGGATCGTCTGTCTCCCACACCTAAAAATCTGTGCCCTAATCCTTACTCGGGCAGCTCTCATTTTGGCTTCATGAACAAAGGAAGGAACCGAAACGTCCACTCATTTTTCTATTAGAGAGCAAGAGCTCGCTGTTTAAGACCCTTTTTAACGTTCTCGTACAAGACTCCCAGAGCAGATAGTGAACTGCGGAGTGCCTTGGCTGTGTGTGCACACGCATGCGCGTGTGCGTGTCCCCACGAAGGGCGGACTAAAGCCACGCTTCAACCGGAATAAGAGGGGGCCTGGCTTTTATCTGGCTCTCCTCCAGCTTCATTACTTCCCACAGGCCAACGATTCCGAAGAACCTTCTAGAACACATGTGGGGATACCCAGAGCTCTGAGCCGCCTACCCAAACGACGCCAAAACCGCCTCCGCGGCCCGTCTTGTTGAGAGACGCCTTGCCGCGTGCCGCGGAAGAGGGTGTGTGCCGCCAGGTAGGTGGGCCGGCCAAGGGGGCTGCTGCGCGGACGGACAGGTACCGAGCCTAGGGATGCAAGCGGCCCTCTCCACACACGTGCACCCCAGGTCGCCAAAAGGGTGGAACGGAGCCAGATCCTCTCGTGCTTCCACGTTCTGGAGAGGAACCTGGAGGAATCTAAGAGGAGACCAACGCCAGATCAGGAGAGATGCAAAGGCAGAGGCACTGGCAGGAGCACATGGGCTTGGACGGAGTGAGCAGCGCGCGGAACACGGGCTGAGGCCACATACGCAGTTCCCAAAAAAGTGCCGCAGGCACCATTAGCATTCCCAGGCCGCTCCGCACGGGCGGGGGAGGCTGGCGAGCCTGGCAACGGGGTATCCTGGAGACCCGCGAGAGAGCAGGGTAGCAACGAGAGGAATCTGGTGCAGTATGAGCTCATGGCCATCAGCTGAGAGCGGGCAGCCAGTCCAGGGCCAGGACTCGAAAGGGCGGGGCCGCGGCCGACGTCACCGCAGCTGCCGCGCGCGTCACCCACTTGCCGCATCCGCTAGATCTCTCTGGACCAGCCTGGGTGCAGGGCCTCTGCGGGAGCCGGCGAGACCTCTGCGGCGTCTCTTCTAACATGGCTGACTCGGAAAACCAGGGGCCTGCGGAGCCGAGCCAGGCGGCGGCGGCGGCGGCGGCAGCGGCAGCAGCGGAGCCAGCGGAGGAGGTAATGGCGGCAGGCGGTGCGCAGGGTGGCGACTCCGACGGCGCGGCTGGCGACTCTGACGGCGCCGCCGGTCAGATGGCCGAGGAGCCCGAGACCCCTGCAGAGAATGCAGCAAAGCCGAGAAATGACTTTATCGAGAGCCTGCCTAATTCGGTGAAATGCCGAGTCCTGGCCCTCAAAAAGCTGCAGAAGCGATGCGATAAGATAGAAGCCAAATTTGATAAGGAATTCCAGGCTCTGGAGAAGAAGTATAACGACATCTACAAGCCCCTACTCGCCAAGATTCAAGAGCTCACCGGCGAGATGGAGGAATGTGCATGGACCTTAGAGGCAGATGATGATGAGGAGGAGTACGAGGAGGAGGAGGAGGAGGAAGCCGAAGAGGAGGGGGCGGCCGCGGCGGCGGCCGCGGAGGCGAAAGATGACGGTGCCCGCGCCGAGATGCCTGATGACGCCAAGAAGTAAGAGGGGGTTAGAGATTGACGAGGAGAAAGCCGATGAAGAAAACAATCTGATTTTTTTTTTTTTTGAGTGTTGGTGGGCTTAAAAAGCCTCAGGTTTTTTGACCAAAATACAATGTGAATTTATTCTGACATTCCTAAAGTAGATTAAATTGAAGCAATTAGATCCCGACCAGCCCATTTCAAATTTGACTTTCATTTTGAACTTAATAAATATATCAAAACGTATTGAAGAAAACCAAATTAAACGTCAAATTATTTTTTCATAATCTCTTCTGGGAGGACTGGAACAGAGGCTAGTACAGGGCTGTCAACAGATGTGAAGTAAAGAACGTCACTTTGAGCCCCATTCATCACGCAGCCATTACACTACACAGGAACGCCCCGGCGAAGACCGAACGCTTTCCCAACGCGTCATTCTTCGGTTTCTTCAGAACTGACATTTCCCAGTGCAGAGGGAGCACAGCGCAAGAAAGACGTCATCTGTAAGACTTTGCTTTTGTAACCCAGACATCTTACACTTCAGAGGGGAGTGATGACATCGAGGAAGACTGTGATGGAGATTGTGACACTCATTGTTAATGAGGCCAGGAAACTGCCATTTCTAGTTCTGAAAAATGTTCTGAATGTTTGAGTTTAGAGAAACAGTGTGGTTCCAAGGAGAGTGTAAAATCTGTATAATATCGTCAACTTATGTATTCATTAGTTATAATCTCATGTTTATGTGTTTTCTTGGTAACATCTATTTACAAAGTGTAAAAAATACCCAAAATGTTTAAGTATTAAATCACTTTACCTAGCATTTTAGAAGTATTAATTTACTTGAAGAGATGTAGAATGTAGCAAATTCCGTAAAGCATGTGTAGTCAATGTTACGCAGTTTGATCCTTGTGAAGTCTTTATGTCATGTAGCTTTTAGGATGTAGCTGTGAAAATCATCAGAACTCTTCACTGAAGCTAATATGTTTGGAAAAAATATATACTTGAAGAACCAATCCAAGTGTGTGCCCCTACCCCCAGCTCAGAAGTAGAAAGGGTTTTTACGTTTGCTTGTATTAGCTGTGCCTTCATTATTTTGCTATGTAAATGTGACATATTAAATATAAAATGGTGCATAATTAATTTTTACTGCTTGAGGACAGACTGGCATACAGTAAGGATTTCTAGGAAGAACATACTTAATGTAAAGACTTTTAGCTTCTTTGTGGGTTTTGAATTATATGTGAGCCAGTGATCTATAAAGAACATAAGCATAAAGTTGTTTACCACTGTGGTGTTAATAAAACAGTATTTTCAAAAATAAAAATAAAAACGTCTTGGTACTCTGACTGCCTGTATTCAAATCCCAGCTCTGCCTCCTATTAGCAATATACCTTGGGCATTTCAGCTAATATTCTTTGTGCTCACTTTCTCCTCATCAATAAAAGGGAATAGTAATAATCCCTTCTTCACAGGTTATGATAAAGAACCAATGAATTAATATAATACACATAAAGCCCACAGAACAGCATCTGACACACAGTAAGTGCTGAATAATTTTTGGCTATTATTATTACATTAAAGAAAACGACACTATAAATTCATTTATTGGAAATTCAATCCTCTTCTCCCATTTCAAAAGAAAATGGACATCATCATATCCCTATGTTCATGATTCCTTAATATGAGAGAAGAACATGGCCTTTAATTCAGAAACACAGGAAATTCAATAAACTATCTTGCTTTGGTTTTCTCAATATAAAATCAGGTTTTGATTTCCTCCCAGAAAGGATAAAAAACTTTAATGTGAGATAATGAATATACAAAAAAAGGCTATTTCAACCTTACATTTGGGCATTCTGAATGAAACAAAAATTTTTTAAAAACCAGACTACAAGAAAATTTAAAAATCAGATACCATTTTCTTCCATTTCCCTTAAGGGTTAAAATCACAAAGAAGCAAAATAATACTGCTGCTTTACCTTAGGGAATGAAGGCAGCTCTCACCTGTTGCTAATGACAACAGATGAGTGCAAATAACCTTAACGTAATGTTAATTTTCCTATGGCCAGCCCAAGCAAAAGAGAAAATCAAAATAATATATTAAGTAAGAAGTTCTGATTATCTTAGTCATATGATTATCTTAATAGAGAAAAAAATTTAACATTCATTTGTCTCCAGGAATACAAGAATATCATTTAATATTTTTTAGGTCCAGTAAAAAGCAAAAACAATTCCAACACAAGGGGTATAATTATTGAGAAAAATTTTTTGCAGGCATATGATTATTTAAATATAGAGAACCCAAGAGAATCAACTGAAAAACTACTCATATTTAGTAAGTTAGACTAGTTATTAAATGCCCAAAACCCAGTATTTATTTCTAGGCATTAATAATGATCAAAATATATGGGAAAGGCTCTTTTTGATGGTAAAAATAAAAATATTTATAAAAACCTCTAATAAATAATGTATACAACCTATGTGAAAAGCAAAAACAAAGAAATGTAACATAGGCTTTTGGATGGTAAGACTAAATATCACAAAAGTGTCAGTTTTTCCTGAATTAACTTTTAATTTATTACAATTCTAATCAAAACCCAAACTGGATCAGGAACCTATTTACCCTAATGTTGTTCACCTGTAAGAATAGCTAAGAAAACTTTCAGCAATTTGGAAACTGTTTAGATTTTTACCTCAGACTACAGACTCAAAAAAAATTTTTTTTAACTAAAGAAAATATATTAAATATTTATCAGTTACTGGACAGGAGAAGGCTTAGAGTGATATAAGACCAAAAGAAGTAACAGACATGACAACATAAAAATAAAGAAATTATAAAGATTTAAAGACATACCCTCTACATTTGCAAAAGCAAAAACAAATTGGGAATAAAATCTATAATAAACGTGGATGGCAAAGGGTTAATAATCCTAATATAAAGAATTCACACAAATCATGTGAAAATTACCTAGTTCTAATGGAAAAATACATAAAAGACATCAACAGACTATTTTAAAAAGAGGGAATACTACAAACACTGTCTCAGGCAGAAAGATACGTTCCCGAAACCGCAGCACTGCGTGAACCAGGGCTCTGGCAAGATCTGGAAACGTGCATTCCCAGCAGTGAGCTCTGGCCAGCAATCTTTCTTCTGTTTACAATAAGGCTTTAGCTATGGGTTTTTTCAGCTACCAGACATACCACTGTTGGCCACGTCTCTAAGGACACGGGGATGTTTATGATGCTTTTCATAGTGTTAAGTGATTTCTACCATATCCTAACTGGGCTGATCTTTACTCTGCTTCCCAGACTGCTTATCTGACAGTGCCTCAGGCAGCAATAAAATAAAATCTGCATGTTAAAATCTAGCAGGATACCCTCCCTTCAAGACAGGTCAAACACTATCACTCATAAACCATTTTTAACCCATGATAGGGCAAAATTAGTCAGCAAAGCACAATATAATTGGCAGAAAGAACGGCAGCATGCATTAGACACGCAACCAGCTCTGAGCACTATGCAGAAATCTGTAGCATGCCGATGCTTACCGTGCAAGCACGGGAGCTCTCCCTGAGGTTTACACTCAGAACATACACACAGACACATGCACACATGTACACACACGTACACACTTTTTTTATTGAGGTAAAATTTACATAACATCAAATTAATCATTTTAAAGGGAACAATGCAGTGGCGTTTTGTACATTCACAGTGACCACCACCTTCTATGTAATTCATTTTTTAAAAATATTTTAGAGGTAAACAGCAGTAAAATGGATCAATACTGTGTAGAATACGTAAAGTAGCCTATATGTGAAAGACATGCAGAATTATAAAAAGGAGATTGAATTTATTCGTTTTTTTCAAAAGAGGGCGCACAGTGTAGAATTCAGTGAAATGGTACTCTCATACACTGATGATGATGTATAAGCTACTATAATGCGTTGGCAAAATCAATTCAGCAAAAGTGTCTACTAATAGATTCAAAATGCTATATGCTTTGATTGTACCCTTGTGACCTTAGCACTGCTTATCATTGAACATCCATTTTTAAAGGCAAAAATACCTTTATACAAAAAAGATGTTTTATATAGTCTTATTAAAAATGGTTGCAGGGGGAAGAGAAAGAAAAAAGAAATGAAAAAGAACATACAAACAAGCCAAATATCAAACAGTGAAGAAACAGAAAATACGCATTCACATAGCAGACCGTACAGCCATTAGTAAGGGGACCCATGAAAGCTTTGTAACAACGTAAGTTTAGAAGTTCAGACATTCACATACAGTATGTTTTGAACTATCCCAATTCTGTTTTTTTTTAAAAAAAATTACATAGTCTTCTTGAAAGGAAAAACTGCAAACTCTTCAAAGTCATTTTTCTTCCTGGGAGAAAGGGGGGCAGGAACCCCGGAGGCCCAGCCCTCGCCTCTGCGAGGCGGCGTGCTGACGCCTATGGAGCACAGCTCCGACTCGAATAGCCTGGCTCTGAATCCTGCCCTGCTTCTGAATCCTGGACTGCACGCTGTGTAACCGTGAACAAGTGATTTATACCTCTCTGTGCCTCAGTTTCCTCATCTGCAAAATGCAGAGGCTCACATGTATAGTACTTCAAATAGTGCCTGGCACGTGGTGAGTACTCAAGAAGTGTTACTGCATTTTAGTGATCTGCTGTTCCTTTAACAGGACACTGTAAACACACGCAGATCTTAACCACTGCACCCCTCACAGACCATCCTGCAAGATCAACTGAAGTCTGTCAGCAGTCTTAACGTCAGTAGATTTTCAGGAGCTAGAAGTGTTTGTCATGCATGAATTTTATTCTCAGGTTCTCACTACGGAATCTAGATGCCCTTTGGAGCACCTGCCTTAAATCTGACACTTCTCATTGTGTGGTGCTTTTACTATTCTCTGTCTCTGTCTCTTCCCATTTTCCCGGGGAACAGCAACAGCATTTAATTTGATTGCATCAAACTCAACTAAATGTGGGGGAATCTAGAACAGTATGTGGGTTTTTCATTAAAGATAATAACACCATGTTATACAGTGTGAGAAATACTTAACCACGCACAAGTAGTAACGTAATACAGAATTATCCAGATGTGACCACCAGCTGTGGCAAGATCTGGCTCTGATGCAGCCACCCGTAATCAGCCACGGATATTTTTTTTTTTTTTTTTTTTACCTGGATTCTTGTAACTCATTTGACTGGGTAACTCTGATCCAAGGACAGAAAGCAATTTTAAAACCAAATGGAATGGAATAAGTTATGTAGATGGAATTGGTATCTCTCTGGCATTTTCCTCTAGGGCAGTCCCGGCCGCAAATATTTTACTGTTAACAAAAACAGCTTCGTTGCCAGCAATATCTGTGCACATGACCGCCTAAGTTAAAAATCCAGCAGGTATTATTCTCATGGTTTATTCATTCCATTTTCTTAGTCACGTAAAACAGGACTGTCAATGACGAGATTACGGTATATAGCCAAGGAGGTAATAACTGTAATGATTACTCTTTTACAGCTTCATACAACCTTTCTTACCAGGATCTTAATGTACTTTGCTGATAAGATTTCTATTTTGTGCAGCATAAAAGGAAAAGAAAAAAAAAATTCACTCATGTCTTTTTCTGGTTGTCCCTAACCATAATAGCTATACTAAGCAGTGTGGCAGCAACCACACTAGGTTGTTGGGAGCTGTCCAACTGAATGTTTGTGGCCCCCACAAAATTCCTATGTTGAAACTCTACCTCCCAATGTGACAGTATGTAGAGGGGGAGCCCTCATGAATGGGATTAATGCCCTTATATGAGTCCTAAGAGGGTCGCTTCCCATCGCTCCTCTCCACTTGAGGACACAACAACAAGGTGGTGGCCTGCAACCTGGAAGAAGGGTCTTACCAGAACCTGACCATGCTGGCAGCCTGATCTTGGACTTTCAGACTCCAAGACCACGAAAAAACATTTCAGTTGTTTATAAGCCACTCAGTCTAAGGTACTTTGTTACAGTAACCCGACTGAAGATAAACAGGTAACTGTGACAGCAACAGGCTCTCCTGGCTGACACTGAGTGACACAGAGACACACACAGCAATGCCAGTGAGTGCTAGTGACTCTTAAATGCCAAATCTTAAATTTCCGCCTAACGCTGAAGCTGTTCCACACTTCGATCTCAAACACAGTATGTCGGCAATCAGTATGGGAAGCCCCTCTCCGCCGGGCAGTATGTGAAACGGCATCCTCCCTTGTACAAAAGAGTTTAAAAAAAAAAAAAGCCACACAACTTTTGAAGCTATTGCTTAGAAAGCCACAGTAACAGAAATAAATGGAGTTTTATAACACAATAACGTGGATCCTTTTCTTAGTGTGCTCGTGGGTGGACACATTCTCTTTCTTGTAAAGAACCCGTGTGTCATCAGAACACCCTCACAGTAAATGCTTTGAAGGAGCAGCGCTGAAGTCAAAGGGAGGCAAATAATCACAAAGTAAGAGAAAAGGAGTCTCATGCCTTCTGGACAAGCACATGCTGTCCTCACTGGGCCAATGATCCCTGATTCCAGAACCACTCGTGGAGTTAAGCAATGTCCATAAGCTCGTATGTACCAGCAACAGGTGTAAATAGAAGAGAAGGAAAAAAGATGAAGAGAGAAAAACAGCAAGCCACGGATCTACTCCTATCGTGCAACAACTCTGCTTACGAGCTGACAATGGCTTTCTGTTACCTGCTGAATGAAGCCTAAACTTCTCAGCGTAATTTTCAAAGTCTCCTACAATCGAATCCCCCTGCTAAGCTAACGTGGGTCATCCAAACAAAATTTTTCCCAGCAATGCCCCGTTCCAACATGCATTCCCCACCCACTCTCCGTCCCCTGCCTGAAACAGCAACTCAGATTATTCTATCGCTTTACAGAGCATCGTTCAATTTCATGTCCTCTCCTCTACTTTCTAGTATCCAAATCTTAGAAGGCTTCCAAACCTAGCTCTGTTCCGTATCTGTCCTCACAGATGTATCTGTCCAAATTGACTTTTCTGAATGCCTCCAGATTTAACCACTCAGTTTAGTCTTCATAGTTCATTTATGGTTGCATATGAGAACAGCTATCACCCTAAACACACTGTGTTATATATTTCAGCAATCCTGCCCAGTTTGTCTTGCAACTGTTGAGTCAATTCAACTGTTGATTCAAAGAAATGTCTGTTGAGTAAACAGAAAGATAGTGAGAGGGAGAGAGAGAGAGAAGCAGAGAGACAGAAAAAGAGAAAAACTCAGACTCGGAGACAGAGAGCAAAAAAGACAAAAAAAAGTATGAGGAAATAATTTGACAAAGATATGAAAACGAGTTATAAATCCCAACATCTGCCTCAACTGCAGATTATGTCACAAACTGCGTAAGCCTGTGTTGGATCACCCATTTCCCCAGCCAGTGTATCAAACACACAGAACGTGAGGACATAATCGAAACGTTCGCCTTCCTCAGACTGTTACCTTCTAACAAATGATGCACACGTTATCTTGTCTGAAACCTGATGCAAAACCTCATCCTTTGAAAGACGAAAGGCTATACGTACACGTAGATATATACATACACATACTATTTCATAAAGCAATGACCAAAACAAAAAGGGAAGAGAAATCATCTGAGCCAACAAATCTGCTTTATGATCTGCCATAAACGTATCAATTCTAAAAACATTATCAGACTGTATGGAATAATAAGCCTGTTCCTATTAAGAAAAAAGTCCTGAAAACAAATTATTTGCTGTTAACAAAAGTTACATAGATAAACAAAACTGCTTTTAGCTTCAAGAGATTCTTATCAAGTATGATTTTTGTTTTTGTTTTGAGACAGGGTCTCGCTCTGTTGCCTGGGCTAGAGTGCAGTGGCATCATCATAGCTCACTGCAACCTCAAACTCCTGGGCTCCAAGAGATACCTCCTGCCTCAGCCTCCTGAGTAGCTGGGACTACAGATGTGCACCATCACACCCAGCTAATTTTTCTATTTTTTGTACAGAGTCACAATCTTGCTCAGGCTGGTTTTGAACTCCTGGCCTGAAGTGATCCTCCTGCCTCGGGCTCCCGAAGTGCTAGGATTACAGGCATGAGCCACCACACCCAGCGTCAAGTATGGGTTTTGACTGAAACATCTTACTGGAGTGAGATAAGACAAGCCTCTATACCAGGTTTCTACAGCCAAGATAATTTCATCATCTGAAGCCATTTTTGTTGAATGTTCCACGGCTTCTCCATCATTTCACTTAACTCTGATATTGTAGCTCACACACTCCCCAAAGCTGAGGCTTCCTGGATAGTTTAGAAGGTTTACATGACAAATATGGCTTTTAGCTGTTTTTAAAATGTCAAAGGATAAAAGAAGTCTGCCAGGTTTTCTACCATTCCTGTTTTCAAAAGGGAAGATTTATGGAAGGAAACTAAGATCATTTGAGTAGAGTGAATTTCATAGGATCTCTGATTGCATCTTTGCAAATACTTAGAGGAAAACACCAACTAAAGCCCAGAGTGAGTTTTATTTCATTTCCCTGCATGCTTACAAACAGGACCTAGTTTCTCTACATTTGTAAATTTCTGAAATCTTGCTTTCTTCCATAAAGGCTTTCTCCCTCCCAATTGAAGATAGTCATTCTCTCTTTTCCCACCCCCCTACTTGCCCTTTCTTTAAGCCAAGAAGCTTTCGCTGTAGTCTATGAGCTAATGATGCTCAAATCCTCATCTAAAGAGTCCATATTTTATTTTATTTTCTATAGTGTCTCTAAAAATGTACAATTTTCCTTGTCCTTGTTACTTATTTCACCACTTCTTTCTTTGTGGTTCTCATTGTAAAAACAACCTCAAAGTCACCAGTGATCGAAGCTGGCATAGTAATCGAACAAATAAGATATTCGTATAAAACTTTCTTACTGAGATAAATTTTCTGCTGTAAACATAATTACCTAGATAGTGCACAGACATGTCAAAAATCAACATATTCAAAATGGAACTCTTCCCCTTCAAACCTGCTTTATAGACAGTTTCCTATTCGTTGTTTGAATTAGAAACCTCGGCATTTTTATCAACACATGGCTCTCTCCTACCAGCCACATCTGATCAGACGCTAGCTAGCTCCTGCTGATTATATAACCCACACATAACCAACTTCGTATTCCCACTACCTTCTTTCTGGCCCCTTTACAAGCATCCTTTACCGGAACCATTTCAAAAGCCTCCTAATGACTCTCCCTGTACATAGTCTATTTCTATACGGCCATCAGAGTTATCTTTCTAAAACAGAGATCAATCCAAGTCCCATTCGAGGGCTTGGCAACCTCCACTCTGACACTACTGTGCCTACCCTGCATCAATATTCTGGTCCTCACCCCAAAAGTACTCGACACTCGCTGTCACGTGTCAAACTTGGGAGTCCTGACTCATATTATTCCCTAGGCCTAAAACGTCTTCCCCCACCCACTTGCATTCTTCAGTGTCTGGTAAAAGTGTTACAGCCTCTTGCCCTACTTCCATGGCACTTGTAACTCCCATCACACATCCCATAATCTACCGCAATCGTGGATGTACATTGATCCTTAATCCTAATGCTGAGCTTATCAAGGACAGAAGGATCCTTTTTTTTTTTTTTTTAAAGACAGAGTCTCACTCTTTTGCCCGGGCTAGAGTGCCGTGGCATCAGCCTAGCTCACAGCAACCTCAAACTCCTGGGCTCAAGCGATCCTCCTGCCTCAGCCTCCCGAGTAGCTGGGACTACAGGCATGGCCACCATGCCCGGCTAATTTTTTTCTATATAGTTTTAGCTGTCCAATTAATTTCTTTCTATTTTTAGTAGAAGACGGGGTCTCGCTCTTGCTCAGGCTGGTCTCGAACTCCTGAGTTCAAGCAATCCGCCCGCCTCGGCCTCCCAGAGCGCTAGGATTACAGGCGTGAGCCACCGCGCCCGGCCAAGGACAGAAGGATCCTTAATCCTTAATTCTGATGCTGAGCTTCTCCAGGACAGAAGTTATTCCTCTCCTATACTCAGCAACATGCCTGGCACACAGTAGGCACTCAGCGTTTATAAAATGAGTTAGCTTATATGCAGATTACCATAATTCAGTACAAAAGGAAACAAAATTGAATATCTTCTCCAAAGAGATAACTCAGACTGTGAATTGTCCTGAAAAATCAGGTATACTTGAATTAACTTTCATGAGAGAGCAATAATTTAAAACCTATACAAATTCTTCAGCAGTAAAATAACAGTAATAGCAAGCAGCTTTATAACATTCATTTATTCAACACATATTTTTTGAGCATTTTTGGGCCAGGCACACTGCTAAATACTAGAAACCCTGTGCTAGATGCTGTGAGTTCACTCACTCCAAAATATTTTCCTATAACTCACCGTACTTCATTCTCACGACCGCCCCATGAAGTAGAGAAGGCAGTTATTATAATCCCCATTTTACTGATGAAAAATCTGAGATCAAACAGTTCATGTGACTTGCTCAGGGTCAAAGTCAGTAAGATGTAGATCTAGAACTAAAACAGTTATCTCCTAAATCCAGGGGATTGCTCTACTATTAAAAATTCTTTAAAATCTGCAAATTCTTGCTCTATCACCCTTACGTCCTCTGCAGAGGGGATTAAAACGTTAATTTTAATCCTGGTCTTAAAAGTCAAACTGCCAAAAAATGAAGTAGCAACGTCTGCAACAGGCCGGGCCAGGACTAACCTGTTGTCCTTGCACACGGTCACTTTGTCTCCCCCGGGTATCAGCTTCTTCTGCTCAACCACGCCGTAGCTTTCTCGGCAGATCTATGTTTCAGGCAGGAAAAAATAAAGGTTTCAATTTTTGTTTACCTTTTATCTTTCTAGGACCCAAATGACCGAGAGTCTTTAGGAACAAATACAGCTTCGTGACCATTTATTATTACAGAAAATTCTTGGGAGAAGAATGAGAATCTGAGTCAGAAAACATCAGCATCTTAAAAAACATCTTTTAAGACATAAATTGCCAATAAATGCAATCAAGGAGAAAATGACATGGACTCTAGAAAAGAAATACATACATGTCAGGAGCAGAGAAGCATTAATCCTAATGCTTTAGTAATTTTCCTAAGTATATGGATTAATCATTCATTTATGTACTGAACACATTTACTGAACTCCTATGACACTCAAGACACTATGACTAAAAGGATCTGATTCAGAGAAGTCCCTGACGTGGTTCTTTGATTTGGAGAAGAGCTAATGTTAATTATGACTTGGAAGTAAGACGAAAGAGACAGTCACAATCGCGAGTAAACTGCGGAAATTCTTACCGTGAAGTTGAGGCAGAAAGTGTCCTCAACATCTTCCCCAGGGTAATCTAAAAGCTCTTGAAGACTCCTAATCATAGAATGACAGAAGAGGAAAAGAGGCAAATCAGTCACTGCAATAGTGTTTTTACTTCAGTTACATGTACAGATTGTTTGCAAGGAAAAACTCTAAGATTCTAGAATGAACATAAATTCAGACTGACAGAAAACCATGTACCTAAACCTTGAAGACGAGAATCATGGCAACAGACTTGTATGACATCCATGAATTGTTCTTTTTTCCTATTGACAAATCTTACTGGATTTATGAAGAAATTCAGATGGGTTTTAAATCTGACATACTGTATCCTCTTAACCCTCATATTGTTTAGAAGTATGCGTGAGAAGATGGAATGCAGTGGCCCTACAGACTGGCTTCACCGGCTTATGCATTGTAAAATAATCCTTCCATCATTTAAAAAAAAAAAAAAAGCCACAAAGTCACCTCATCCATTTAGGAATCTTAATGGCTTGTTAGTGCAGAAGGCTCTGTATGGTAAAGACACTGTATTATCTGTCACACTAAAGAACTCTGAAAAAAACATACTCTTAAAAGAACATGTTTATGTCAACACAAATCATATCCTAGCTCTCAAGAGGATAAATTCTTATAACTAGACCTCACTCACATTTTCTTTACTGAGCTCCGGTCTTGCAGTTCCATCAAGAGTTGCCCAGGAAGAAAATTCCCAGTGTGGAATTTAAACCTGCTACCAGTTGATCAGACAAAATCATTACGTGAAATACATAATTCTCAGCCAAGCTAGCAAAGCAAATGGCACACACTTCTGTGGCTCTCTAGCCTTCTCTTTCCATTACCAAAAAATTAACACTGCCTAACTCTCCCTCTGCCATTTCTTCATATTCCTCCCACGTTTTCTCTTCCTCTCTCTGTACCCCCAGCCCTCACATCCTTTCTGGTTTCTCAGTGTTGGTGTCCTGTATCAGAGGTGTGATGGTCTCATTTCCAGAGAGTGCCTTGGAGACCACCCCTCTTCTAACTCCACCCTAAAATCGGTATCCCTTCTCCATAAAAAGATGTTCCCTCCTATTAAAGCTCTTTTTATATACTTGATCCACTCCCAGGAATTGCTTTTCACTTTCAAGACAAGTGAAAACTTACATCTACACAAAAATTTGTGCACAAAATGTTCACAGCAGCATTATTCGTAACAGCCAAAAAAGTGGAAGCAACCCAAATGTCCATCAACTGATAAGCAAAATGTGGCAAATTCATATAATGGAATATATCATTTGGAAATTAAAAAAATAAAATATAGTTGGCACTCCATATACACATGTTCCACATCCACAGATTTAACCAAAAACCTATTGAAAATATTGTTATTTGCGAAGAGATTGATCAATGGGTACAAATACAGAGGCTGATAGAAGAAATGAGACCTAGTGTTTGACAGATCAGTAGAGTCACTACAGTTTGCAATAATCTATTGTATGTTTCAAAATAGCTAGAAGAGAATAACTCTAACATTTCTAACATAAAGACAAATATTTAAGGTAATGAATATCCCAATTATACTGATCTGACCTTTACAAATTACATGAATGTATTAAATTATCACATGTGCTCCAGAAATACATACATCTACTATGTATCAATACATTTTAAAATTTTTTTAAAAAGAAAGAAAACATAATATTTGCAGGATGCAAAACGCATGGATATGGAGGGCCAGCTTTTCATATCCACAGGTTCTTGCAGGGGCACTGTGGGATGTGAGCATCCAGACGCTTTGATGGATTTTGTGTGTGGGGTGGGGGGGCCTGGAACCAATCCCTTGCGGATACCAAGGGACGGCTGTGCTGACACGTGCTACCACGCGGATGGACCTTGAAAACACGCTGAGTAAAAGAAGCCAAACACAAAGGACCATATGTTGTATGATTCCACTTACATAAAACATCCAGAACAGGCAAATCATAGGGGCAGAAAGTAGATTAGTGGTTGCCTAGGGCTGGGGGACGAAGAGATTGGGGATAACGACAAAGGAGTGCCAGGTTCTTCTTTAGGGGAATGAAAATATTCTAAATTTGACCGTGATGATGGTCATACGATTCTTTTTTTTTTTTTTTTTTTTTTTTGAGACAGAGTCTCACTTTGTTGCCCTGGCTAGAGTGAGTGCCATGGCGTCAGCCTAGCTCACAGCAACCTCAGACTCCTGGGCTCAAGCAATCCTTCTGCCTCAGCCTCCCGAGTAGCTGGGACTACAGGCATGCGCCACCATGCCCGGCTAATTTTTTTCTATGTATTTTTAGCTGTCCAATTAATTTCTTTCTATTTTTGGTAGAGACAGGGTCTCGCTCTTGCTGAGGCTGGTCTCGAGCTCCTGAGCTCAAACAATCCGCCCGCCTCGGCCTCCCAGAGAGCTAGGATTACAGGCGTGAGCCACCACACCCGGCCTGATGGTCATACAATTCTATGAATACGTAGAATCGTATACTTTAAATATGCGGTCCCCGACCCCTGCCCATGGACCAGTACCGGTCTGTGGCCTGTTAGGGACCAGGGCCGCAGAGCTCTGCCACCGTGCCCTGCCCCTCTGTCCATGGAAAAATTGTCTTCCATGAAACTTAGGAACTGGGCGACACCACGTAGCAGGAGATGAGTGGCGGTAGAGCTTCATCTGTATTTACAGCCGCTCCCCATCGCTAGCAACACTGCCTGAGCTCCGTCTCCCCCATGTTTGTGGAAAAATTGTCTTCCAAGAAACTAGTCCCTGGTGTGAAGAAGGTTGGGGACCACTGCTTTAAATGAATGGCTTGTGTGGCATGTGAATTACATACCAATAAACTTTTTAAAAGGTCTCCCTTTTCAATCCTCTCTCCCTGTCATCTCTGGGCCATGACAAGCCTCAATGTCCTTATTTATTTGTTCAGGATAGGAAAGCAGAGATTATTCTGTATTCCTGGGCAGTTATCTTTTTCTTTCTTTCCCTCTGCCCTTACAGCGACATAGGCAATGCTTCAAGCAAGTAGCTGTGTAGCTACTTCTTAAGACAAAACATACACGATGGAGTCTAACCACACAACTCAATAAACTCAGACTTGTACATATGGTATTTTCCATCTTTAATCCCAGTGCCAGAGGCAGCCAGAACAGTTCCCCACACCAACTGCCTGTCTTCCAGTTTTGTACCTTCCTTCAGTGGGTGATAGCTCCTTTAAGTCTTCCAAGCCAGGCGTTACGTTCAGTAACTTCTTGTAGAGAGCCAACGGGAAGTGGAGATCCACCACAGTGGAATTATAGATAGCTAGGCCACAGGTTATGCCAATCAAGTGAAACCAGTTGTGCTCTACAAAACACTTTTCAGGACATATACAAATGTGTTAAAAAGAAATGCAGTGTTTGTACTCCTCAAAACATTCTACCATTAACCTCAAAATATTTTCAATATAAGAGAATAAAGGTCTCATTAATATTTAGTTACCTTCTGAAGCAGAGAAACACCCCTGACAAAAGTTCATTTCCGTCAAAGATGCAATGTAGACAGAGTGAAGCATTTACTGCTCACCCAGTGACACAGGGAACAGCCCACAGTCATCTAGAGCAGGGCTGTCCGCTAGAACTTTCAGCCACGATGGAAACATCCTATTCTGTGCCATCTCTTACGGCAGCCAATGGTTACCTGTGTCTACTGAGCACTGGAAATGTGGCTAGTACAACTGAGCAAATGAATCCTTAATACTATTTAGCTAAATAAAATTTAAATAGCCACATGTCCCTAGCGGCTACCTTTTGGAACAGTGCAGCTCTAGGGAGAAAACTCTTGATAGAAAAAAATCTAAATTATACTCGGATTAAAATCAGAATGCCCTTTAAAACTTAGCTCTCCTACTGGATTTTCAAAAATAAAGTGGGTGTATGTATGTGCGTGTGTATTCATACACATATTGTCACTGTTGTTAAAATAAGACATATTTGATTACTGAATTTTCAATGTCATAAAGCCAATTTCTCTATCACACTGTGTTCCCTTTTACCCTTCTTGGGCGACCCAGACCTTATCTATTAGAAACAGAAATAGGGCTGATGGCTGACGAAATGCACTATGTCTTGGCAATAGGTGTCAATGAAGACTGGATACATTACTTAGACATTTTAGATTATCATCTTTGTTATGCTCCCCTCTGCAAAGTCAGATGTCAGGGGATTGGTCTGACAACAAAAAGAAAATTTAATTCAATCCATGTCTTTAACTGTGACACCACTAACTTACTGTATCTGAAAACCACAAGAGATTTGAATCTTGATAGTAGGTAAACATTCCATAGATGGGATTCAAAAGTTCTTTTAACAGCAAAAGAAAGAACTCCTTTGTAACGCCACCAGCATCCACTGCTTCTTCACCATCAAAGATTACCTTAAAATAATGGAATACAATTAAACTTCACGGAAATCTATAGGAAGTTTTATCTTTTTTTTTTTTTTTTTTTAGCAGATTCTTTTCTAAACTCAGGACAAAGGAAAGCAGACAAAATAGAGAATATACACTGACAGAATGAAAACTAAAGGGTGAACCTGTTGATTTTCGTTGGTAGCATACATTTTTAACATGGTACTTACAGATACATACAATTTTTACTAGGGGCTTCAAGGGATACGAAGGAAGCCAGAAGTTTACCATATGTCCACAAAAAGTCTACGATCTCTTTTTTTTTTATTTCAGGGTATTATGAGGGTACAAACATTATGGTTACACTTTATGTCTTTGCCTTACCCAAGCGAGTGTTAAAGCCATGCCGTTCCCCCCCTACAATGCTTCCCGTGTCCTTTAGTTACGAGTTTACCCTCCATCTCCCTAATCCCTGGGGAGTATTACTGCCACGTGAGCACACTAGTGTTGATCAGTTAGTACCAATTTGATGGCGAGTACAAGTAGAGCCCATTCTTCCGATCTTGTGGTGCCTTACTTTGGATAATGGGCTTAAGTTTAATCCAGGAAAGTATAAGAGGTTCTAGATCACTGTCGTTTCTTATGATTAATATTCCATTGTAAACATATACCAAATTTTAATAATCCACTCATGGACTGACGGGCACTTGGGTTGTTTCCACATTCTTGCAATAGTGAATTGTGCTGCCATAAACACTCGGGTGCAGATGTCTTTATGACAGAATGTTTTGTGCTCTTTTGGGTAGATGCCTAATGGTGCTATTGCTGGATCGAATGGTATTTCTATTTTTAGCTCTTTGAGGTATCTCCAAATTCTTTTCCACAGAGGTTGCACTAATTTGCAGTCCCACCAGCAGTGTAAGAGTGTTCCTGTCTCTCCGCATCCTCGCCAGCATTTGTTGTTTTGGGATTTTTTGATAGAGGTCAATCTCACTGGGGTTAGGTGATATCTCATTGCGGTTTTGATTTGCATTTCTCTAATGATTAGAGATGTTTAGCATTTTTTTATATGTTTGCTGGTCATTATTCTGTCTTCTTTTGAAAAGTTTCTGTTCATTTCCTTTGCCCATTTGTTGATGGGGTTGTTTGATTTTTTCTTGTTGAATTTTTTGAGTTCTAGATAGATTCTGGTTATCAGCCCTTTATCAAATGTGTAGAGAGCAAATATTTTCTCCCATTCTGTGGGCTATTTGCTCTAATGATGGTTTCCTTGGCAGTGCAGAAGCTTTTTAATTTGATTAGATCCCATTTATTTTTGTTGCTGCGGTGATTGCTTTGGGGTTCTTCTTCAAGAATTCCTTGCCTAGGCCAATGTCTGAAAGGGTCTTCCCAACATCTTCTTTTAGAATTCTTAAAGGTTTCATGCCTTTAAGTCTGATATCCATCTTGAATTGATTTTTGTGAGAGGTGAGAGGTGGGGATCCAGTTTCATTCTTCTGCATGTAGCTATCCAGTTTTCCCAGCACCATTTATTGAAAAGAGATTCTTTTCCCCAGTGTATATTTTTGTCAGCTTTGTCAAAGATTAGATTACCATAAGTGGATAGTTTCATCTCTGGATTCTCAGTCCTGTTCCAGAGGTCAATGTCTCTGTTCTTGTGCCAGTACCATGCTGTTTTAGTTACTATAGCCTGGTAGTACAGCTTGAAGTCTGGTAGAAAAGTCTACCATCTCTTTAAGGGCAGTAAGGCAAATATAAAAGCAGCAATCAGAAAATACATTTTATTTTCAAAGCAAAAATATATAACAAGAGGAAAATGTTCTGGCACATAGAGAAAGGCAATCATTAACTTGAGTAAAGAACATTTTTTGGAAGAAATCACTCTCCACAGGGTTCTTGAAGTAACTGACGCAGGTAGAAGGGAGGAGGGAATTCTAATCGGACAGAGACACAGGCTCGGGGTGGGGGGCTGTCAGCAGGCATGCTGGACCCATGGTGGTCGTCAAGAGTAATAACTACAGCAAACCAACAAACAACGCTGAGTTGCCTATATGCCAGCACTTAACTTTGGAACACCCATATGCATAGAGATTGCTATTATTACCTCCATTTTATAGGTAATGGCTCAGGCACAAGACTAAAAACAGCATTTGAGAAAGCATGCTCCTGTGGCTGTGTTCAAAGGAGCCTAGAGCAGAACAAGAGTAAAGGTGGGGGCAGAAAGCAGGACTTTGATTATCTAGATGCCCACAGAAGACTATTCAGACATGCTACCAAGCAAAACCTGCCTCATCTGAATTACTGATTGAAAACAGTCCACAAAAAGCAGCAGCTCTAGTGAGAACAACCAGGCAGACTGGTGAGACAGATGCCACTCATGAGAAATTATGGAAACAGTAACAATAACACGGAGATGATCAGTTCCGTTTCTTGCCTATTATGTTTCTCAAACTGGAGCTTCTAACAGGCTTGGAAATAGAGATATGGAAGTCACCTGAAGGAAAGAGGAAATGACTTCCAACAGATTTCAAATAGTTCACTAAATAATTTGTAGAATACCTTCTGTGTACCAAGCATTGTGCCAGGCCCTGGGAATAAAGTAGTAACACAAACATGGTCTGCGGGAAGAGACAATTTCTTAATAATTTTAGGGTGCTAAAAGTGAGCCAATCGTAACAGGCCAATAGTTTCCCAGATGATTTTTACTACCTTTCCATTTCCTTGTTTTACCTTCTTTCTCTTAAATCTTGCATATCTAAAATCTTCCTAGATGATAGCTATTTAACAGTTGTGATTTTGAAGCTTGAGGCTTTAAGTTTTTGTAGATGTTTGCTTGTTTTTGATAGGGCTGTAGCGGGTACACCAAAGATAGCAGAAGCAGATAAAGAAAGCACTATAATCCCTCAAATAATCCACTGGCATTTTTATCTCATGTTACGTTGAGATGTTCTGGCTCATGATTTGACAGGAGGTGACTAAATTCTTGTAAAATGAACGAAAGAAATAATGAATAGCTGCACTCCACGACTGCAAGAAGATCTTTGCTGCTTTATCAATACTGTTTAACAAAAACCTGCACAGGTATTTAGAGGAATATACTGGAGAAGCTCACTTTGAGAGGCTTTTTCAGATCAATATCAGAATGAATGCTCAGCTCTCTTAGGGCATCTCCGACAAGGTTGTTCCTACGAACGTGAAGGACCAGGAAGGGGCTTCTGGCCAGCAGAGGCTCCAGGGTGAGAAGCATGAAGACATTCTGCAGGTTGGCTCCGTTGACTGCCACCTGGAACAGCACACCCAAGAACACAATTACTCAGGGCACACTTGTGAGTGGGGCAAGCAGGCAACTGAGCCTTTTGGACCTGGGAAGGAGGGTGACTTCATGTCCATTTTGTCCTTTTTTACCCCCTCTTAACTTTCATGGATTTTCTAAGTTATTTATGTTTACACAGCACACAAGTCTATCTAATCTGGACTCAAAGAGATTAACTGAAACAGTTTATGAATCATATGATCCATAGCCAGGTCCAGGAAAGTGATTTAGACTAGCTAAGACTAAAATAACACCATACTGGAAGAAACACGAGAGAGAGGGTAAAAACCACGGCTTTCAAAATGGCAGGAAAAGAAATCTAAATCTAATAACTACTTGTTACAGGGTTTTTATTCTTTAAAAAATGCCCATTTCTCTGGAAAACCTTTAAATTGTCAGTATCATGGATATACCCGTATGAAAACAGACATATAGATAGATACAGACAGAGCTGAAGAGACACAGACTTTGAAAGACAGGGATGGGGAAGGAGGGAAGGAAGGAGAGAGAGACAGAGAAATAGATAAATGAAGTTATACATCCACCAACAGTAGGAATTGGTAGATTTAGATTGCTAATTCACAAATGTCTCCGTGGCTTGTCAAAATCAATTATACTTTATAATAAAAAGTGTATTTTAAATAAATTATTAAATAAATCTCTATAACTTTAAGTTTTTATTCAAAAAAGAATTATAAGCTCCATTTAATTCTCTTTCATAGAGAAAGACTATGGCTCCACGTATCAAATTCAGCCTGCTGCCTGTTTTTGCACAGCTCTTGAGTTTAACAATGGTTTTTACATTTTTAAATGGCTGAAAAAAAATCAAAGGAAGACTATTTCAGCATATGTAAAAATTATGTAAAATTCAAATTTCACTGTACATAGATACAGTTTTATTGTAATACTGCCATGCTCATTCATTTATGTATTATCTATTATGGCTTTTGTGGTATGATGAGGTTGAATAGTTGTAACAGAGACCCATATGGCCCTACAAGTCTAAAATATTTACTAAGTGGCCCTTTACAGAAAATGTTTGCCAACCCCTGATCTATACGAATGTGCATTCACATATGTGTGTTATATTCAATAAAAAATTATTGAGAAAATTTAGAATAGTTCTAAGAGTTATAATGTAATGTCACCCAAATGTTTTCTCCTACTAAGAAAAATTACAACTGAATGTATAGGACGAGGGAAACACAGTAAGAAAAGGAAATAATTCTTAAAATGTGATACCTGCATCTGTAGTTCAGCATCGGTCTGTAACATTTTGGTCTTGGCTTGGGCGTCGAAGATGAAAGGGTAGGAGCAAAGTGTCACAGCATCCTAGGAGAAAACATATTGTCGGCAGCAGTATAGTATTCCACAGAGAATACTGCCAGGAAAATATATACGCAAATTTAAAAAGGATCATTTACCTGTATTATAGATGGTCTAGCCTTCTGTGTGAAGAGAAATAAAAAGTCTCTTACTTTGATTGTAAAACCTGAATTTCAACTCCCCAAAAGGTAAAATATAAATAACAAAGCAGGCAGCTTATCTGACTATGTGTCATGGAACTAATACCATTTGAACAGCTAAATTTTGATGGAATATAACAAGATGTTTTGATAGACACAGACTGAGGGAAAAAGAGCAAAGACAACTTAAAAAAATTTTTAAAGGACCTTTAAAGGCCATGTCACTAACTCTCCATAATTCACAGCATTAACAGAATTCTTTTTATGAGAAATCTAATTCCAAAACAGGAGCTTTACAACCTTGATTTCAGAGGTTAATTTTGTTGGGGAAAGTGGATAATGCAAATTACATTTGACTTCGTTACGTTATGTAACAAACATTAACTTAATATTAACTTTACCATTGCTATTAACTTACTAGAAACAAAAAAATTAATATAGGTCATGTTGATCTGTAGCAACAGAAAACCACTGATTTATTCTCAGAGATCTGAGAGTGCTCTGCAAATTTTTTTAAATAATATCCTAAATAAAATTAACAAACACATAGAGTTACCACATAATTTACACTTGTTTTAATGATTGCATTGGGGTAATGAGAAAGAAAAGCACTCTTGGCATGTAAATGCTGCATTTGCACCAAAGAAAAGGCCAGTGCAGTCCTGGCTTGCTGCGTGATTAACGTTTAATGGCGGCTGAAAGCAGAAAAGAGAGCTGAGTCACCCCAGGCAGACAGGCGGTGGAACTCCAGCACCGCCTGGCAGCAGGCAGTCCTCATCCACGATGCAAGTACGTGTGGTGCCTGCTCATCACATCAAATCAGTGAGGCTAATCTGCATTTTGTTGATGTTATAGTTTTGTTTGTAGTTAACTTGTAAATTTCTTCCGATTTTATAATTAAGTACTATATGAATAAGAGATGTACACGTCCTTTGGTGCCTGTGCATATTTAAATGAAATCATTTAAAGCAAAATCATTAAAGCAATTTTAATTAAAATCCGCCCTGTTAATCCTTTACAACTAAGTTCCTTTAGGAATCTTGGAACATTTCTCTAGACTGAGAAACATTAAACAGAGCGACAATTTCAGTCCAGTGAGACCAGGTATGGAGTCATGCATACATAATCCAGGCCAATTCGACTCACCCTCATGCCTACATATCTAATTATCTTGAATTTAGGAATCAAAAACCCCACACACCTTGAGACAGGACTATGCAAAGTTAAGTTATCTCACAGTCCAGGGACTAGGAGCATCCTGGGGAAGCGGGCTCAAAACTGGTGCCAATATTCAGGATTTTCTCACCTTCTTCTCAGAAGAGATGAGTTTACCTTAAGCACTGTTGCTTATTCTCAAGGGAAAAGAAAGATCTTGAAGGTGCAAAAGCAAGATAAAGTTTTGACTACTTCAAGTGTCAAGGTGACTGTAGGAAGTGGTAATAGACTACAGAAACAGTTGTGGCAGCCCAGAGTCCTAGCCTACTTAGCGTATTTCAGTATGTGCTAGAGTGCGTCCGTGTAATGTAATTACTTCTGACATCAATCAGCAGCTTTGTCTGTATTCTGCAGCTCTCTCTCTCCCTCACCATCCTCTCCCTGCAACCCCCACCACGAGCCCCCCTGTGCTGCTTAAACGCCCACTTTCTGCCGCTCCTGGTCCCTCCCAGTGCCCCTCACCTGACCCTTCCCCACACCCTTTCACAGAGGTGAAAAGAACCCAGTTTGGGAAGCAGGCTGATCTCTCTATTGGAGAAGGGGAGGAGCTAAACCGAGGGCAGGAAGAATCCAAAACTGCCTCAGTTGGGAGCCAGAGCCAAGGCCAGAGTGATACCGCCCAGAGTTGGAGTCTAGACACGAGGCCCAGGAGAGCCACCGAGGCAGGCAGGAAGATACTAAAGCCTTACAGAACCAAGGTGCCAGCTCTAAGGCAGGCAAGGGAGGGAAGGGTATTCAGTCAAAAGAAGCTACAAGTATTTGTGAAGGTCTGTTCACATGTCTACACATTTTTTATAAGTCTGAGTTTTCTTACTTGCAATATAATTTCATTTCACCGGGTTTTTTTTTTTTTTTTTTTTTTTTGAGACAGAGTCTTGCTCTGTTGCCTGGGCTAGGGTGCCGTGGCGTCAGCCTAGCTCACAGCAACCTCAGACTCCTGGGCTCAAGCGATCCTCCTGCCTCAGCCTCCCGAGGAGCTGGGACTACAGGCATGCGCCACCATGCCCGGCTAATTTTTTCAATATATTTTTAGTTGTCCGATTAATTTCTTTCTATTTTTAGTAGAGACGGGGTCTCGCTCTTGCTCAGGCTGGTTTCGAACTCCTGAGCTCAAACGATCCACCCGCCTGGGCCTCCCAGAGTGCTGGGATTACAGGCGTGAGCCACCGCGCCCGGCCCATTTCACTGATTTTTATTTTCTGAATGCTGCGTATTTTAGAAATTGTGATCACGCTGGCATTTCTGTCTTGTGTGAAATAAATCTGAATGGTTTTACGCCATGCCACTATTGCTATCCATGACCTAGAAGGATCCATGATCACTACCTGCTTGTTCTGGGCTATACACGCCCCCAAAATGAATCTCACAAACTTAAAACTATCGAAGTACTGGTGGGACCATATTTCCAGTTTCCCTGACGGAAATGGGGTTGTACTGTGACCTAAGTTCATTTTTTAAAGTAGATGAAATGGAAGCAATGAATAAGGAAATGGTACAGAACTGAAGAATTAAGACTAGCTTTTTTTTTTTTTTTTTTTTTTTAACACCAAAGCAACGTTTCCTAAATAGGGCTGCAAGTGGGGCAGGAGGCTTGCACAGACTGCAGCGCTTGGGAGGAAGTACAGCCTCCCCTGTCCCGGGTCTGTCTCGTCTCACACGCGCAGGATTCTGGTACCTGGAGCCAGAACACTGCCCCCTTGTGCTGAGACTCCCTAAATACACACAGCGAGATGTCGAGCTTTCTCTAGCTTTTATTTTTGAAGGATTTGTGCTTTGTCGCTGACTTGCTTACTTGTGCTGCCCTCTATGGGAGGCTAAGAAGCTGCTTGCTCTCTGTGCTACCTGGTTTTCAAGCACAGACGACGGCAGGTGATTAATTGAAATAAACAAGCTACTACTGCCGCCTCTTGTAGATGAGCAAAAATCACTTTAGGATGTTCCTTCTGCACGCAGCCTTTGTCATTTATTTTTCACCGCTGCCTCTGCACCGAACTAACCACTCCGCAAAGGCAGACACCATATTCCACGCGTGTCTCCACTCCCAGAGACTAGCAGGTAGATGACACACATTAGGTGCTTGAGAAGCGCTTAGTAAAAAATAGCTACTGAGGGCTTATTATATGCTAAGCACTCTGCTACGTAAGGGCCTTTCCATGCTTTCTCCCATGTAAGTCTCACAATACTGTTACAATTCTCATTCACAAATGAGGGTGCTAGGCCTACGGGAATTAAGGAACTTAGCCAAGGCCAGACAGCAGATCACAGCTGGGACTGGAACCAAGACTTTGTCACTACAGCATGTGCTAGAAACAATATGCTATTCAGCCTCAGCTAGCACTAAGCTAAAAAAGTTAACACAAAAAAATCAATTTTTTGTTCATTACTATTTAAAAGTGGTTAAAATAAAAATAACATATATGAAATGGCTTTAGTATTTTAAGTTAAAATCCAACATATAGAGAAACTTAAATGTCATTCTACATCCTAGAAAAAATTCCACAGGAATCCCAACAGATCACACACAAATTTCATCTAATCTTCTGGATTTCTGTAATAACTACCTTAATTACTGAGGAAATGAGCATCTACTATTCAAGATCCGATATTTGCTTATCAAAGGTTAAGAGAAAGGAACTATGAAATATTGTAAAAGTTGCTCACTTAAGTACCTCCATTCAGAGACTGCGGTCATGATAAATCTATGTTTTAACACAAATAACTTTTTTTAGGGTCAAAAAGAATCAGTTTCTTAGATTTATTTTATTCAGCATCAAGCCAAAGAATAAATTAGAAGTAAGAAGAACTGACTTCTACTGTTAGTAGAATTGGTGGGAAAATCGTTTAACTTCTCAGGCCTCTTTTTCTTCACCCAGAAAACAAAGCAGTTGGCCTAAACAGTTCATAAGCCTTACCTCATCTCTTAACATTTTATTATTCAGTGAATAAACTATTCACAGTCGATAAAACAGAGGTTATTTTTTACAATTTCTAAATCTGAAGGTGAAAGCAAGAGTTCACTGCTAGCCCCCATGTTAAATTTCCCATGTCATCCCATTTAGAACACTCTAATTCATTTTTACTGAAAAGCGTTTCATTTTCTCACGGTAATCATAAAATTTTATTTTAAAATGCAACATTATGTCAATTTTTAAAAATTCCTACAGAAAAATCACAACATTGTGTCTAGCATTGATCATCCATTATCTGACAGAGAAAATAATCTTGTTTGTTTAGTTAAATAAGTCTATTTAAATGCCTTGCTTTTGGAGACCACCACTGACCTCCAAAAACCCTACAGGGAAAACGCCTTGTCCTAATGTTGGTGATGAATCTGCTGAACTGGAAAAGACTCACCTCAGATGTATCTGCTGCACGTGGCTTCTGAAATACAATAACCAAATCACCCTCCTGGTTTTTAACCTAATTCACATTTACACATACAGATGGGAGATCCTAAAGAGCCTTACATACATCCCAAGCCAGTCTCCAATCAAACTGAGTAGTCCTACCACACCGGGGCGGCAGGCAGGAATCCGCAGTCCTGCGGATAGCATGTCTAACATACAGTGGCAGCTGGGTCGGGGATGTCTGACACACGATCCTAAATCAGAGGTGCCTACAGGGTCCTGCATGATGACTGAAGTAGGCTAGCTGTCAGAAGACAATAATTACCAAATAATCCTTTCCTCAATGTCAGGGATAGATCAAGCTGCAGTGGGGATCGTGGCACACACAAGCCTCATCTAAAGAGCCACTGCTGAACTCCAGCCAACTGGTGCCATATGGGAAGACAGATCGTGTTGCCAGATTTTCCAAATTTCAAGAAAAGCTAAAAATTCATATTTTTATGTGTCTTGATTTTTTAATATTGTGGTAAAAAACATAACATAAAATTTACCATCTTAATCATTTTTAAGTGTGTAGTTCAGCAGTGTTAAGTATATTCACATTGTTGTACAACAGAGCTCCAGAACTTTTTCATCTTGCAAAACCAAAACTCTGTACTCATTAAGTAACAACTCTCCATTTCCTCCTGCCTCCAGCCCCTAGCAACCACTACTCTACTGTTTTTCTATGAACTGACTTCTTTAGATACCTTGGTTTTTTAAAATGTTGGCAACTGATGACATTTATCACATTCTGGGTGACTACCCATTTATGACTTCTTATAACATTTATCATCACTTAAAGCACGTCAAAGTTTCAAGAATGCAAAAGCCAGCTGGACGAGAAACAGGCGAGACACTAACGTCAAAGTCAAAGACAAGTGGTGCGGCTCAGATGTGCTTTAGTTGTCCTGACTTACACTCCGAGAAAAGCCCAGATTTTAAGATACGCTTTACAGGAATTCTTACCATCCCGGCCTGATGCAAGAACCACATGAGGTAGTCTTCCTGGATGTCCACGAGACTGGAGATCTCAGGGATGTAAAATGTGTCATATTCCACATGCTTCACTTTAAGATTTACCTGATGAAAAACAAAATAAGGACAACTAACAAATGGCTTCCCAGAGGACATCTCAACAGGACACTGCCCCTACCATCCATTCACCCCTCTCCCCACTGGCTCCGCCTAGGCTCACCTTGTATAACTTCTCCAAGAGCTTGAGAGCTGCTGTGATATAATTGTTAAATAGTACAGGAATTAAGAATGTCTTTCTTCCCCTCAGTAGATACAGGACTGCACCTTTATAGAGGTTTACTAGCTTCATGAAATATTTCGGGCATACCTGAGACCACCAGTTATCTTTAGAAAGAAAGAAAAAACATATTTCAACATGTAATCTTAAGCAAGTATTTATGTCTTCTGCCTACTAGCTAAAAACTGCTCTGTCTAGAAGATAAAGATGATTCTGAGACACATTTTACCAAAACTGACTTTAAAGGGAATCCATTAAAACATCTCTGGGCAGAGCAGCAGCTGTGTAAGAATCCCTGGAGCTTTTTTTTTTTTTTTTGTAAAGCTTGATTTCATTTTTTTTCAAAGACTCATTCTAACGGCTAACCTAAAAGTTCAATTTCAACGCTATACGTGGACAAGATACACCATGTTTTGGGCAGGAGTGATGTCCACTGCATTAGTCCAAAAAGTGTTCCTATGTCCTAGCCCGTTCAGCCACCACTTAGATCCTGCAGCAGGGATGCAGAAATCGACACGCTCTAGAAGTAGCACCAGTATGACAACTATTCCCTTCCCTTCGAGAGGTATAATTAGTTGAAAAACTACCGTTTTTGTTTTTCACCAAACAATGCTTTCTCACAACCAGACAAGATGATTACACCATTGGCTTCTATTTTGTCAGAAGTAAAGTTAGCCATACTGAAATATTTAAAGAATGAAATAATATGTCTGGAATTTTCTTTCAAATATTCCATCAAAAAATGAAAAGTTGGTGGTGGAGAGGAGAAGATAAAATAAAAGGGCACAACATTGACAACTATTTAATCTGTGTGGTGGGTACCTACAGTGTTCTGTCTACTTTGAAGTATTCTTTTAAATTTTGATAATTAGAAGTTACAAATAAAGTAAGTTTAAAATTCAATAATTCCAATCTCTTTGTGTTGTTCAACCTGGAAAAATAAAAATTAACAAACTCCCAAACTTAAAAGCCAGGTAATTTCTTCATAGACTGCCATCTCACCATCTCATGTCTATTAGAACACCTGAGAAAATGTGCCCTAAAGGCTTTTGATCTTAAAAAAACTTAAATGCCAACATATTACTAGTGCTTTCATTATTATTTCTGTTTTTATTTCTGCAAAGGTGGAAGCAAGATGGAAAAGCCAGTGTTCCACCCTCACGATCTCAGATGTCTTCACTCAGGGGAGACCACACTCAAGTAACATCCCAGTTCATCTGGAACACAGAAGTTACTGAGTTGCAACGAACACCTAAAAAATTTACCAGGGATGGGGTGGGGAGGGAAATGTAAAAAGCCAGGTGACAGACTTTCTGCACTCGATTAACAAAAACATCTCAGGTGCTACTCCCATGAGAGACACTCTCCAATTCACTGAGGAACGGAAGGTTCTTATCTCAGCAAAGTGTCCGGAGCCTGCAAAAATCAGTGTGGGCTCAACTGTCCTAAAAAACAAAAACAAAACAAACATTCGGTAAGTCCCCACTAGGTCATTTTCTTCCTCGCCTTTTTTGGAAACCTGTGTATCACTAAAACTGTTTGTTTCACTCCCACTCACTAAATTAGGTATAGGAGAAAGACAGACAGATGGACACTAAATTTTGAGGCACTATTAACTACAAGCAAATATGGGACCAAAAAAAATAGCTTAAAGTTAAATAACCTAACTTTGTGAATATTACAAAATCAAGATAAATCTGGCATGGATCATTTCAAATAATCTGAATAATGATTCCATTTGCTCAGATTGCAAGTATGGTTAGCTAGAGGCTTAAATGTTAAGGTCATTAAAGGGCAACAGATAGATTCTTGGATCTCAATCTGCTGAGAGCCAGTGGTCACACACCAACAAAATAAATTAGCACAAAACTACTGGTATTGAGTTTAGCTAATTCACCTAATACTTTGCTGGGGTTTGTATCCAGCCGCAGAATGGCCATAGCCAAGGGAATAGTCAACGTGATGTAATACTTGGAATCCTGGAGCAGGGGAAACTCAGGTAGTATTAAATAGATTCTCATTGCTTCAACATCTGGTGGTGAACTTGACAACTGGGGAATCAGGCAACTTTCGAAGCTGTTTAAGATCTGTATGAGAGAAAAGGGTAATGAGGAATTCGACCATGCCTGAGCTCTAGGTAACTCATCTCTAAATTCGAAAGCCATTCGCCAGACTCTCAACTCTCATTCATCCCCGGGGCACTGAGGACCTACTAGGAGTCAGGCCAGTGCCTAGATTCTTAGAACACATTAGTGAGAAGAAAAGCCACAGAACCCTGCGAATGCAAACCTTATTTTCCAGAGGGGCTTTTTCTGAGGAAGTATTAGGCCAAAAGGCAAGCAAAAGGTAGGTCAAATTCCCAAAGTGAATATTTTACACAGTTAACGTTTGTACAGGACTTTCACTTTTCCACTTTTCACTTCCTCTCTTTTTCTTTTGAAATTATTCCGTGCAAAAATGCATTTTAAAAAATGTAAGGAACGTACCTGTTCTAGAATCATGGAGTGCTGAGAGTTCATTAACTTCTCAAATAACACTCTAGTTGAGTTCAGGTCAATCCCAGGGATTTTGGGACTTGTTTTAAAATGTTCATCAATTCTAAACAAACAAAACCAAAAAAGTATGTAATAAAAGAACAACAAAGCAAACATCCTGATAGGAATTGTAAACACTTAAACAAGATAGTTCGTCCTTACTGATCAGATTTAAATTTGACCTGGCAGACAAGATCCACAAAAATACTACACTTCAGGGAAGCCCGACAGAATAACCTCACAGGAATCCCCTTTTCAAGATGCTTTTAAATTTTCACCTTTTTTTCCTTCACGTCAAAGTACAAAAATTACCATTTCAAGTTGAGGCTATCCTGAAGTTTATAAGTAGAGTATTTATTTATTTATTTATTCTTGTGTTTTTTGCCTTTTTCTGTTAATTGTGGCACTGAGCTAGATGTAGGAGCAAAAAATATCCCCTGTGCAAACTGTCCCCCTCATCAACAAATGGCAAGTAGAACCTCCTTGTTGAAAGCCTTTTTAAAGTATTTAAAGTAAAAATCAGATCTACAACAAATGCAAAGTTAACATCGCTCTTAGTTAACACGGGGGATACAATTACCTTCACCCACAGACTAATCTCATTGCTACTGTTTTTAATTTCCTCTAACTAAATCATTTTTCTGAACTTAAATAAAGTCTTAGCCTTCTACAGACTTACAGAACATCTCTTTTAAATTCCTACTCTAGAACCTCCCAAAATGTGTCCACATCTATTAATTTACAAAAGAGCTACCTATTTACAAAACAGGCTTGTGTTTATGAGTAATGGGCACATTCAGATAGTTTTAACACCCTCTCATAGCAATGTTATAATTTATGAGAACATAAGTGGAGTTTCTAACAGTAAAAGAAATCATAATTATATGTACTGGAACCCAAAATGGTCAAATGAAGAGGAGTTGTTTATACTTTGTTTTTTGGTTCCTTTGTTGTTGTTGTTCTAAAAATAAACCTGCCCAAAATATAGAAATGAATTGTGGTCTTCCATATGTAACTTTCCATATGCTTAGAGGTACTTCTTGCTATTCTGTTAAGAAAAAAATAATGCTTTATCTATATGTATTTATTGTTTTGTAAAACTGGTCTTCATTTTGATTAGTTTCCTGTGATGCCTCTTGTGTAAGCTGGAGGAATAGACCTGAAATAGCACAGATGTTTAAAAAAAAAAAAAAAAAAAAAAAAAGCTCTACCCACAACTCTGTGGAACCCATGGTATGAAGGATAAACAACCCAACAAGTCTGGCCAAAAACCATTTCCAATCTTCTTAAAAGCAATACTTCTAGAACAGAGTTTCTCAACCTTGATACTACTGACTTTTGGGGCCAGATAATTGTTTGTTGGGCAGATGGGACTGAGGATGTTCAGTAGCATCCCTGGCCTCTACCCACTAGATGCCAGTAGTATACTCTCCCCCACTGTAATGACCAGAAATGTCACCAGACATTGCCAAATGTCCTTTGGGGAGCAAAATCACTCTGGTTGACAACCAACGTTCTAGAACACCAACATCAGCTATTCAGTGAACCCATTTACCTTCCCTGGAGGAAAAGGCTAATTACTAAATAAAAAATGAATTACATGAGCTCATTCCAGCTGCCTTAAATGATACAAATAAATGACTTTGTAATCTCTAACTGTAACTTAAGAGAGTTTCTGAAGTGACCTCTTCCAACCGGATTAGGGACACATTTTTGGAGGAGAATGTGATAGTTAATTTTAGGTGTCAACTTGACTGGGTTAAGAAATACACAAATAGCTGGTAAAGCACTATTTCTGGGTATATCTTGGAGGGTTTTATGGAAGAGACTGGCATTTGAATCAGTAGACTAAGGAAGATCCGCCCTCATCCAATGTAGGTGGGCACCATCCAATCAGCTTTGGGCCCATAAGAAGGCAGAGGAAAGGTGAATTCCCCCCACCCCTCTCTTTTATGGAGCTGGGATACTCTCCTCCTCCTAAATTCACTTGAGATCTCATTAGCCTGGTCACTGGCAGAAAAAGCTGAGACATGATCAGACTTGAGATCACCAAAGATCTAAACCCATGACAAGACCTTTCTGCAGCATTAAGTTCCTGGGGGAGATATCTGTAGAAGGTCAAGCAAAGAAACATTCTGTTTACCACCTGGCAGTTCAGCCTCAAATCATAATTTCCTGGTGAGCTGGGCTGGACATGAATCCAAGAAGCTCCTGGAGCCTCCCTGGAACTTCCCCCTAAGTTCACTCCTCTTGAGAAAAGAAGAAAACTATGGGAAAGTAAATCAAAGAAACCAAGACAATGTATTTAAAGGATTAAGAATTTAAGAACAAATGCTATACACCTGAGGGGTATAATATTTTGGAATATCCTGAAAATCTTACTTCTGATTACACCAATTCTTTCTGAGATATAGTCTCTTTGGTAATCTGCTCCTCTGCCAACCAGGCATGAATCGGCATTGCCCTTCCTGATGTCTTCGCATTCGTCATCATTAGGCATTCCAATTTTTGCACAAAGCATCAGCTTATCCACTGAATTAAAGCCAACCACCACCAGAAAAGAGAATAGAAGTTTTCACAGCCTTTGCTGAGTATTTGCATCACGTGTGGGTTTGTTTTTCACTTTTTTTTTTTTTAAGAGACAAGGTCTTACTATGTTGCCCAGGCTGCAGGGCAGTGGCTATTCACAGATACTACCACCGCACACTACAACCTCGAACTCCTGGACTCAAGCAATCCTCCTGCCTCAGCCTCCTGAGTTGTTGAGACTACAGGAACATAGGTGGGTTTTCTTTTTTTTTTTTAAGACTCTAAGTCACTTACTTTTTTTCAAGAAAACTTCCATTCCAACAGGCTGCAGAAGATAATATCTGTACAACACCACTGCTCAAAAAAAAAAAAAAAAAAAAAAAGGAGGGAAGGAAGCCTTTAATAATTACAAATAAATGTTACTTAAGCATCAGCAATAGATTAGTCATCTATTCTAGCATCTCATTAATAGCAGCTCTTTCTTACCCAGATGAAGCTTTGGAAAACATACATTTGCCTTAGAAATACAGTATGTCACATCTTAAAATGAACAAGAACTTAAATTTTCCATGTTAAAAAAGAGTATCAAAGCTCCTCAAAGAAAAACTTTTGCCACTGTTAATGTTCTTGAACATTCTTCTACTACCAACCATCTAAGACACTCCCTACCTCACATCCAAACATAAACACAGAATAAAACCAAAAAAGAGATGCTGAGCTATTATTTCCCAAACACAAATTATTTTAGCAAATTAATAACTGAACAACCACGTCCTTCTATTTTGTCACCTATCGGAGAAAGAAACTAAAAATAAGTGAAATGAGTGCTTATTCCTATTACCCAGGTCACACAGACTCTGGGAGAATAGCTAGTTTCTGGGGACCCAGAGTATTAATAAAATTCCATGTCAGGGACCCTCTTATTTAGTATAAGGAAAAGGGAAGGAATAAAACCAATGTAAGGCTGGGGAAGGGACTGCAGTAACTTCTGCTAATTATAGAATTTGGGTCAGGAAAGATCTTTAGGGGCCATTTCTTCCATCTCTTCATTTTATAAACAAGAAAACAAAGGTAAAGTGTCTATAGTTCCCCCTGTGGGCCCTAAGCTAGCCCTGTTCCCCTTTCTCCTGCTACCCTTCCAGCCTGCCCTCCTTGGCACAGCCTAAGGTCAGAGGGATTCCAAGGACTGGCCCTGAGCTGCTCTAGGGCATTCCTGATGATCCCTTGCTCAGAAAGTTACCACCTCAAGTGCCTCAACATTTAGGGTCCTGGTCATTTGCCCCACTACAATCTATGTCATAAAGCAGGAACTGTTACATAGATTTCTGGGAGTGATGACTGCTTAGTGCACTCAATTTGATTTATTCACGCCCAAGAATTAAACTCTGCAGAAAAAAGTGGAATGCTGAGGAAAGCCAATGAACACGCGTAAAAATGTGCAAAATTCTCCCTTAAGAATAAACTTGATAAAAGGTCTCAATCTTATTTACTGCATTTTCTTTCTCTACATGAATCTGAATTACCATCTCAATTAATCACTTTGAATGAGGAAATGTTAGAAATTATTCTGATCAGGTAACAGCTGCCTTGAATTCAGGATGCTCTGGGACATGCATATGAAGAAACCCACTGGGGTCACACAACACCACCACTATGCTCTCTCAGCAGAAAGGCCAACTCAGGCCTTCCACAGTCAGAATCTTTAAGACCTTACACTGGACAAGACAGGGTGAGGAACACACTGTGTGAGCACTGGGGAACAATCCCTTATGTTATTTGGGGCTAAGAGGATCAACCCTGAAATAGTTGCAAAAACCCTACGATTCCCAAAAAATGTAAAACTCCATTTACATTCACACTATCAATACAGAAGTAAGCTAGAAAGTTCCAACTACTTTGGAAAAAATAAATGAAGACAAGCAACCACATACTTGATTGTATTCGCATTGTTGTGTTCTGAGAGTTTTTGTCTCCAGACTGCTATGGTTTCATCATTTATTAAACTGGTGTAATGTGCTTGGTTCACAGTCCTGAAGTCAACAGCAGGAGATGAATTCTGGACAATTAAATATAACAGTAAAAAAGAGAGGTTAGGTAGCATGGATCTTTTCTCCTCTCCTTCCCCCCACATATTCTCCATTTTGTGTTTCACTTAGGAACTAAATGCTGTGGGAGCGATGCCCAGATCCCCTCCCGCACTCGCGCCCCCAGCTGCTGGGAATGAATGTAGGCCCCTGACAACTCACAGCCGGGCTGCTCTCCCGCCCTGACCCTTGGCTGTTGCTTCCCCTGCCAAAGCCAACGGCAGGTCCAGGTGTGGTACACAGGCCCAAGCCCTTGCCTCAACTCAGGACCGGCTGAAGGGCCACCCCAACTTCAAAGCTCTTCATGGTATTGGCTGAGGCCTCTGTCCACAACTGAATTGCATTTCAACTTCTCCCTCTGCCCAGTCCTGCCTCATCCATCCCTAAGTAGATGTTCTTTTAGAGAGCACTCCCCTGCAAAAGACTTAAGAGTCTCAGAGTCTATTTTCCAGAGAAACCCGACTCAACACTTTTCCAGACTTCTTTCCCCGTTCCTTTGAAACACCATAACATCAAGGTTTTTAAGGTATTAGTCATTTGCTATAATTGTTCACCAAATCTCAACAAAATGTATGAAAAAAGTCACATTTCAGTTATAACCTATATTACAAATAACCTATGAAAGCTTAATGCCTCTTCATTTTTTGCTCCATGTATATAGCCAGTAACTTATAAGAAAAATGGCAAAAAGAACGTCAATAATGCCCTTAAAAATTCCAAATGCCACCCAGCACTGTATATCCTTTATTCAATAAGATTTAAAAAACATAAGCACTTTCATTTTCTAAAATTGCATGTTTTCAACTTATTTTCCTCAAACCCTGTTCATGATTGAGAACTAAGAAAGTTGACGGTGCTTTATGCTCCTATCCTTGTCACCAGTAAAGAAGAAAAAAGTAGTATTAAAGCATTCATCCAAAAACTCGTAAGATGATCATTTTTTTCTCCTTGGTACCTACACATAAAAACAGAACTTTCAAAGTAAGTTGTCTTGGTTGCTTTTCCATAGTTGTAAGTCATGATATCATTACACAGGGAAAGAGGAGAGCAAGTAATAAATCAGAGGTGCTTGACAAAGCTTTTGATCACCTGGTTCTTGATAACTCTTCGACTAAAATGGCCACAGACATCTACTGAGAGAACAAAAGTCATCTTGAATTACACAGAGCAAACTCATAAACCAAAACGGACACTTGAGCACACATAAAGATTGCCTCTCTTTCCACCTTCCTTTCCAAACCATTGTTGTGTAAATTTTAATTATTTCCCCCATTCAAAGGGACAGCTGAATATCAATTCTAACAGAAACTTACAATAAAATATAGACTTGGACAGGAGCAGGGACATGTGGCCTTCTAGGTCCTTAAGTGTGGCCTTTTGACTGAATCTAAATTTTACAGAATAAATCCTCTTATTTTTATTAATACATTTTTGTTCTGTGTTTCATATTTTTGCTTTATTTTTAAAATGAATGTATTTAAAATACCAAAAAATAAGTTTCAATCAAATAATCCTCCCAGATTGACTCGCATAATTAGAATATTAGTAAGCCATAAGGGCTAAATTTTGATGGCTGCTATACGCTCACGATTTAGTTCTGACATCCCCCACCAGACTGGCGCATCGCACAAGGCTGGTTGGGAAGAGTTTATGGGGATCGAGTGCGCCAGTCTGTTATCAGCTTTGGTAGCAGTGCACTGTGTTTCTGTTTGAAGTGCAATTTGTGAACAGTTGCACAGCTGACAGTATTTTTTAATTTTATCTGCTTAACAGCCCATGTCAAAAAAGACCAAGAGAACACCAAAGGAAGAAAACAGATTTTTTAATGGGATTGGGAATTACAATAATATCTTATTCCTGCTAAAGATAAGATGATTTGCTTGCTTTGTGATACTGCAATATCAACATTAAAGAACTTCAATGCTCGTCAACATTATGACACTCATAAGGACCACAAATAAATTAGAGAGGCACAAAAGGTTGTACTGTAGACATTAAAAGATGAAAAGCAAAAGCAAAGACCATTCTTTCAAGCAGCAATAAGACCTGGAAATAAAGCCACTGAAGCAACTTATAAAGTAGGTTATATACTCAAGAAAAAAGGGAAGCCATTCAGTGATGTAGAAATTGTGAAAGAATGCATCATCGAAGTTGTAGGATGCTCAGATCCCAATAACATTTGAAAGTACAAACAACTGCCTCTTTCAAGGAGAACCACAACTGATAGGCAGCGTGAATTAGCCTTCAACTTAACAGTAATACTTCAAAAGGAAAATATGTATTATTCAATCACTTTGGATGAATCAACTGATGCTACTGACTCAGCACAGGTCTTATAATTCATTCGGGTCATAACAGAAGATTTTCTTTGCTACGAAGAGTTACTTGCTTTGGGCACTCTTGCCAATAAAACACTGGGAATAGATATCTCCAACAACTTTCAAGATAAATGTCATGAAGTTGGACTGAATTTGGTAAATTTAGCAAGTGTATGTACAGATGGTGCACCTTCCATGACAGGAAAACACGAAGGGTTTATTGCACAGATAAAGTATTAACAAATCCAGATGCTCTCATTCCTTTTCACTGTATCTTGCATCAGCAAAATCTCTGTGCTAAAGCTACTATTTCAAGTGGCACTTTACAACAAGTTATAAGTATTGTTAACCATATTTGTGCAAATGCAACAGCATCATCAGTTTTGTAACATGCTAAAGTTGCACAATAAGGTATTCAGTGTGGATTTGCCATATTATTCTAAAGTGCATTGGCTATCTCAGGGACAGGTGTTAGCCAAAATTTTATTTCTGCAAGAATAGATAGTTAAATTTATGAAGAACAGAATCACAATGTGAATTACTGAACGAAGACTTCTACAGGAATGCAGCATTTCTGTGTGATATCACATCAAATCAAAATGACTTGACTATTTCTTTGCAAGGTAAAACTAAGTCTATATATGTGGCAAAAAATCTAAGCATTTCTTAAAAAGCTATCTTTTTTCAAAACACTTCTTCAAAAAAAATTTCAGATGCACATTTTCCTCAGATAGCGAAGTTCACTGATGAGCAAGATGATATATGCGAATCGTTTGAAGAATGTACAGCTGTTATAGACCTCTTAATTGGAGAATACAACAAAAGGTTCTCTGACTTTGAGAATGATGACATCACACTCAAATTAGCATTTCGGCCTCACCTAGCTGATATCACCAAGGCACCTAAAGAACTACAGATGGAATTGATTGAAAATGGTCATCTACTGAGAGCTCAAAGTCATTGTTTTATGCTAAGAAAGATCCAACTAAAATATGGAAAAACGCAGAATATCCAACACTTTCACCAACATGCCCCAAAAAGCGCTTTCTTGCTTTCCAACCACTTATTGCTGCGAGTCTACATTCTCCCACTTAATTTGAATCAAGACATCCTTAAGGTCACAAAAGACTGATACCCATCTAGAAGATGAACTGAAACTGTGGACCTCCATGCTGCCACCAAATATTCAAATGCTTTCCAACAAAAAGCAGACACAACCAAGTCATTAAAAGGTTAACTTTAAAATTAACAGTTTTGATTTTTTGAAATTATTAAGTACATAGTAGATATTTACAAAATAATGTACATTTTTAAGTATAATATATGTAACTGAAGTTTCTTGAACGCAGCCTTATTTGATTACAGCTAAATTAATGCAGCCTTCCAACATGAAAAGTTTCCCCACCCCTGGAGTTGGAACTATTTTCTCATTCTTCATTGCATGTCCAGTAAACCAGATACCCTGGCTGAAGTACAATCTCAGAACCACTTAACGAACCAAGACAAAAGATCTTCTTTCCATGCCTTTAATATAAACAGACCAGAAAGAGAAAACTGCTTTAGGTCAGTGTTTCTCAACTTTGGCCGGTCTTTGGATCACCAGAGGAGCTTTCAAGAGTCCTGATGGCCAAGCCGCACTCCAGACCAATTAAATCAGAATCTTAAGACATCAGTATTTTTTAAAGCTCCCACATGATTCCGGTGGGTTAAGAATCACTGTCCTATGAAAAAGAGGATTATGTCACGTAGCAGACTTTGAGTCAGACAGAAACACACACACACACACACACACACACACACACACACACACACACACACACACACAATTTTAACAATCCCAACCACATTCCCTCTTCAGTCCTATGCAAGGAACAAAATGAAAGGGAAAGGAGAGGCTGTGGTTTACATGCACTAAATTCCCAAGACCTAGAATCAAATGTAGCAGCAAAGGAGCATCTGAATGAAACTCCTCCCAGCCCTCTTCCACCTCAGGGCCTGGCATTAATGAACGAGTCAGCGTCGTATGGAAATGAAGGCTGTGAATACACAAGTGCTTTTTCTTGGTTCTTTAAGTGACAGGGTAACAGTAAGCACGTGATTCGACCAGTCTCTGCAGTTTAAGTAAATGTGTATAGGTTTCAGTTTTAAAAAGAAAGAGCAACATCTTCCTAATAGTCCATTTTCAGTTTCTTTTTCTTTCTTTTTTCCTGCATCTCTCTCTTACCAGTTGTTTAAGCTTTAACTGGCCCTGTCTTTCTGACACTGCGCTACTTCATTTCCTTCTCATCAATATGTTGTTTTCCAGGTCCAACTGCTTTAAATATAATAAATTTAAAATTCAGGTACGTATATCAGAGACCATATTTATAAAAGGAATGAAACTAAATTTTATGTTGAATTTCACAAGAAAGTCAACATAATTAGATGATATTATTCAATCTCATCTGAGATTGAATATTAGATCTCATATTCAATGAGAATCTAATAGAATATTAGATTCGTTTCTTAAGGAAATGAATACTTAAAACCAAAAAGTTACTATCCTGCAGAGAGATTCAGTGCTTTTCCTATCTTGCTTTATTGGCATCCTGAAGAAACAAAGGATAACCTCAGCTTCCCTCGGGATCTCTCTGTGCCACTCTGCAGCTGGGTCTGAACGGGTCTCAGGCAGCAGTTCCCAGTCACCGCAGGTGGCGGCAGCACAGGGCTTTCTTCAGGCGCTTGGCCTGGAAGACAGCTGTCAGGTTCAGCTGTCCCACCTGCAGCCTCGGCCTTCACCAGTCTCTTTTCTGCCAGAATCACAGAATTACAGTGACTAGCAGACAAGAACTTTGTGTCTGTAAAGAGGGCGAAGTCCCAGGCTAATGGGGAGAGTTTCCAGGACTGCTGGGGCCCTGGTTTCCACAGCTGCTCCTTTTCTTCCCAACCCGTTATGATTCCGTTATCATCGCTGCTCCTCCAGGAGGGGGTAAGGACCAAAGCACCGCATGTAGCCGGTCCTCCCGAAACGCCCCCTGAATACAAGCAGGAAGGGTGGGGAAGAGGAAGAGAGGAGAGGAGAGGAAAGTGCGGAACAGGGGAAGGAGTGGAGGGCTGAACACACACCTGTGGAGCTTTTTTTCAGACTGAATTCCCCCAACCAGGAAGAGGGGGATGAAGTCAAGCCCTGTCACAGACACCTGGACCTACCCTCTGCCTTAAACTGGAAGATTCTGCAACACTGTTCTTCCCGGCTCATCCGCTACAGTGACCCGAGAGACTACGCAGGGAAACTCTGGTGTGGTGTCATAAACAGATTATAAATAACAAAACATATCTGAAAATTGTGATATCTCTTTCATATATATTAATATCATATATTCAATCGCATCAAACAGAGAAACTCACCAAGTTTTCAAATACCTAGCATTTGTTGCTACTTAACAGGGAGGGAAAGAAAAGTCAAATAATGCCAAAATAAGCACAAACTCCCTAGTGCTGCCTTAAATTTCTTTAACAAATATGAATATAAACAAACAATTCTAAATTATAAATTAGACCTCTATGATTATAATACCAGGAAAATTATTGGCACTTCATGGGAGCAAAATGGAGATAAATACTTCAAGATTTAGTTTGCTTACTTAATAAGATAAAGCTGGTAGAAACGAAGAGTAACATTGCTATAATTATTTATTAAACTAAAAATCAGTTCACCATTATTCTACCCCCAAAGTAGTAGTCAAAAAGAAAATTTTACCTCATATTTGGAGCAAAGTACAAAAGTTTGGTCTCCTCCAGAGAAGATCTGCTTAACAATATGATATTTAAAGCGATCTGTCAAAAAGATTCCAACAGCATAGTTTTCAATAATTGAAGTTTCTCCTTGATTCCCTTTGCTAATATCCTAAAATATGCTTCAGAGCGGGCTCCTATCCATTTTCATTATGTCCGAGAAGAAACCTTCTCTCTGGGCTCTCTGCCTAGGACTATTTCTACTTCCATTAAAAATAAATATATAAAATGGTACCCTCCAGTCTAACTCTACTTCTGCCCCCTACCTGACTGCCAAGCTAATCCTGACCCCGTTTCTATTTTTCATTCTGTCATGCCACGGACCTGAAATAAAAAAAACGCATTACTCGAAACGGTGACATGCACCTAACGGATAATTCTGCGTCTGCGTGCGGTGGGCCCTGCCCCTTCAGGAGAAGTTTGCAGTCTGAGGACCTCGATTCCTGTCCCCGCTTTATCTCCCATCACACTGCGTCCATGTTGACATTCTCACACCGCCAAATTGTTTTGTTTTGTTTTTTTTTAAAGAGACAAGGTCTCATATGTTTCCCAGGCTGGTCTCAAACTCCTGGGCTCAAGTGATCCTCCTACCTTGGCCTCCTGAGTTGCTGGGACTACAGGTGTGCGCCACCACACCAGGCTCCCAATTGCCTTTGTTTCTAATACACCACGCTATTTTATATCTCCATGCCTCTTGCCTCTACCACCCCAGCGCACACTGTATTCTCCTTAAACGGCATCTCCTAGAACGAGATTTGAATGATGCTCCCAGAGCTGTCATCTCTGTCACCTCTGGGCACTCACCACTGCCCACTCCCTCCCGGCCCTCTCCCTGGCTAACTCCAAAGCACCCTGTAAGACACGGCTCAAACTTCCTCCAACCAGAATACTCCTCGATGCCTTCCTCTGTGCCCCCATATTACAACGAAGGTTCCTAAAACCACAGCATTGACATAATAAATTGACATTTGCCCACTTATGTTATAAAATCATCTTGGCAAATATCCAAGCACAAATTTAGGAACACATAAGTCAGATTATAATTCAATTGCCAAAATTTGTGATTTCAGGTCAAGCGTGGTAGCTCAGGCCTGTAGTCACAGCACTTTGGGAGGCCGCGATGGGAGGATCTCCTGGGGCTAGGAGTTCAAGACCAGCCTGGGCAATATGGCAAGACCCCGTATCTACAAAATATAAGAAAAATTAGCCTGCACGGTGGTGCTACTTGGGAGACTGAGGCAGGAGGATTGCTTGAGCCCAGTAGTTTGAGGTTGCAGTGAGCTATGATCACGCCACTGCACTCCAGCCTTGGTGACAGAGAAATATCTCATCTTCAAAAAAAAAAAAAAAAAATTGTGGTTTCAAATTAACCTACAAAACACTTGAGTTTCCTAAATTGGTATATTTCTTAAACACATGTTTTCCACATCTGAGTACAATGCCTGAGAGAAAAGAAAATTTACAAATGACAGAAGAACACACCAAGGTTTCCTTTTGCTTTTGGGGACATCGCCAAAACAAAATCCTGTTTATTTTCTATTTTAAGTGCCACTACGTTTTCAGATGCTCATATATTCATCCACTGATATTTACTGAGTGACGAGTTTATGCCAGGCCCTGTGCTATACGCTAGGTTTACAAAGAAGAAGAGTTAGTCCCCTTAAGTTTCTCGTAATCCGGTAGGGAACTTACAATTGTTTAAAGAAAATTCCTAATCAAGCCATAAGTGTGTTGCCTCACAGATTTTTTTAAATCAAAATTATTTATTAAATTATACTTCCTTTTAATGACTCTCTAGTTCCATTTCAGCTTCTAGATTTATTATTTCAAGATGGGGCAGTCACTCAGTATTAATGACTGCCTTACTTTGATTTCCAATGAAATGAATACTCGGCTATTTAACTTTTAAGAGAAGAAAAAAAAAATGGCATAAAAAGAAATCACGTCATGTTACGACCAAAATACCGATAGCAAAGTGAAGGTAACACAATACATGGGCTTCAGAACGAGGCAGACCTGGGTTCAGATCCTTCCACCAGAAGCCATGCGATCTTGGGCAAGTTACTTAATCTCTTTAAGACAATTCCCTCCTCTCTAACATGTAGATAACAGCCACTAGTTCTTAGGTGGCTTTCAGTGCTTAGCATTGTAATGAAACTTGGTTAAGGATTCGATAAATGTTCACTCTCACTGTTAGCAATAAAATTTATATACCACCATGAAGGTCCTTGGGGACAAAATTAAATCTTATGCTTTATTTACTCTCGAGGATCTCCAACTCTAGTGCTTCATGCACATTAAGTACTCAAATATTTGTTGACTGCTGTTTAAAACTTTTACTCATATTCATTCCCTCCATAAGATCTCAGGGTAAGTAACAGGTACCTATCGATATGGTTTGGATGTTTGGCTTCTCGCGGTCTCCTGGTGAAACCCGATCCCCAGGTCTGAATGCGGGGCCTGGTGGGAGGTGTCTGTGTCATGGGGGTGGATCCCTCGTGAATGGCTTGGTGCCCTCCCATGATGATGAGCGAGTTCTCACTTTGTGAGTTCGTAAGAAAGCTGGTTGTTTACGGGAGGCTGGCACCGCTCCTCGCTCGCTCGCTCCCTCTCCTGCCATGTGACACGCCTGCCCCCCCACTGCCTTCCACCTTGACTGGCAGCTCCCTGAAGCCCTCACGAGAAACAGGTCCTGGTGTACAGGACCTTCTTGTACAGTCTGCGGCACTGTGAGCCAAACAAACCTCTCTTCTTTATAAGTCACCCAGCCTCTGGCATTCCTTCACAGCGGCACAAAAAGAACTGAGACACGTTCTATGAACAATTGTCTTCATCGTTTAAAACACCACTAAATTCCCACGAAGATCATGCTTACCAGCTCGGGCTGACAGCTGGCTACTGTGGGCAGCCCAGTAACCCTTGACAGGAGATGGGCACTTCACGTTACAGGTGTGTCCAGTTCCGAGTTGACCTCTTGCTCCACAACCAAATGCATAGATGAGTCCGGACGAAGGCACAAAAGCTAGAGTGTGTTGTCTGTGGAAAAATAATTTAAATTAACTCATCAGCATAGTTCCTACTGCTGTGGACGTACACTCAGACCCTTTTAACTTCCACGTGTGCTCCTACAGAGCCTCCTCCATGTTAACATGGGACTTTCTGCAGTATTTTTGCTGTAACACTATCCTTCTCTGACACTCTAGGTCTTGCGGAGGATGGCAAGTCATGGAAAGAGCCGAATGATCTTCTGCATTTGGCTTTTGAGATAAGTGGAAAGAAGCAGGGTAGACTCAGGCAAAATTTCCAAGAAGTTCTTTGGGACTCTCTCACTTTCCTTTCTTCATCTCTTCCCACATCCTGATACTCCAGCCCCAAAACAAGCCTAACATCTCCATATTGTTCTGCTCTAAAACCCTTCCTTACAACACCCTGTTAAGATCTGACTTTTTCCAAATTTCACCACCAAAGTGCATGCCATTAAGATTTCTTAAAATGGGCCAGGAGCGGTGGCTCATGCCTGTAATCCTAGCACTCTGGGAGGCCGAGGCGGGTGGATTGCTCAAGGTCAGGAGTTTGAGACCAGCCTGAGCAAGAGTGAGACCCTGTCTCTACTAAAAAAATAGAAAGAAATGATATGGACAACTAAAATATATATATATTTAAAAAAATTAGCCAGGCATGGTGGCACATGCCTGTAGTCCCAGCTACTCGGGAGGCTGAGGCAGGAGGCTCGCTTGAGCCCAGGAGTTTGAGGTTGCTGTGAGCTAGGCTGACGCCACGGCACTCTAGCCCAGGCAACAGAGTAAGACTTTGTCTCAAAAAAAAAAAAAAAAAAAAGATTTCTTAAAATGATGGTAGCTAGGTGTAATCACATTCTCCATCACTACAAAGACAAGATCCATTTCTGGGTCTCAGCAGATACCAGGAAGCTCTTAAGATCACTCACCTGCCACAGGCAATCTGAGTTACTTCACTGCCCATCAGCTCTAGAACTCTTCTCGGATTAACCTCATCGTTCATGGAGTCATGTCCAAGCTGCCCACAGGAACCAGCACCAAAAGTAAACACACCTCCGCTCTAACAAGAAACAAACACAATATGACTTCACTCTCTCTCTGAGCTTGAGCACACTATTTTAAAACTTGTACACAAAATTCCCATCACAGTGGTTTACACAAATACTATACTCATTTGATACTTGGCCAAAATCACTTCTTTAGAACATTCATTAAATAGAAAAACAATCAAAAGGGAATTTAAGACTACATCCTTTTGTAGTCAGCTCTGCTCAAGGGAATGTGTGCTATCTGTAAATTTAAAAAATTGTTTAAAAGTACAATCATCTGTTAGGAGACAAAATTTTAAAAAGAGAAACAGGGAGTTAGGTGAAATGAGAAAATCTTACTTGATCATTCATATGTAAGAAATTAAGTGCTCCACAAACTCCTTGATAAGATTTTTTTAACAGCTATTTGAATGAATGACAAAGCATTTTATTAAAGTGAATCTAGAATAGTCTTTTCTCAATATGAAAATAATGTTTTCATTCTCTCTGAAATATAACTATTTAGAAGCAAAAGAAACAGGTTGATAATTTTAAAACATTAAATTGCTATTTCTTATGTATTTAAATGACTTGTTTTTAAAGGAACATGGGATATTGCTTTATATATATACTGTACTATATTTTAAAGTTATTTATATTGAACTATTTTTACTAAGTTACTAAGAGAATCTGTAAGATTACCAAAGAGGAAAACACAAGACATTAAAAAAAAGTCTTTTTCTATTCCTTTGGAAAACAAGCCAAGTTAAAGACAGTATTCAAATTCAAGCCAAAATACAGTAAATCATACACCGTTACTATCCTAAACTAATCCAGCAATTATAATCACCCATTTCACACGCAGCACTAATGCAGAATACTCCAAACCCCTTACCTTCGTGAGAACGGCTGTGTGTTCTTCTCCACAACTAATATAGACAACTTTTTGTGTACGTAAGAGTTTTACATGGCACGGAGACTCTCGATCTAGAATAAGATAAATATCACGATGTCACTATCGTTTGCCTTGGAGATGAAATATATTTAACTATCTTAGCATGAATTTTGGGTCCCCCTGGATTCCTGACACATATTCAGCTTCCTGTGTCTGCACTTAGATGTCCAACAGATTTCTCAATTTTAACAGATCTAAAACCCAATTCATGGTTTCTGCACACTCTCCAACTCTGCCCACTCCCCGTCTCACCCATACAGTTCTCCCCATTTCATAAATGGTACTCTAAACCTTCCGGCTTTTCCTTTATTTCAAATCACAGGAGCAAAAATGAGCAGAAACAACTGGCCTCATGTTCAAAATGCATTCAAAATCCAACTTTACTCCTGCAACCTCCAGACTGGTCTTCCAGCTTCCCCCTTGCCCGACTGCAGCCGAAGTCAAATTGGATCAATCCTCTCTTTAAAACCCTCAGTGTCTTCCCCTCTGAGAAAAGCAGCCAAAATCCTCGCCTGCCCCATGGGGCCCTGCCTAACGGGGCCTATACTACCTCGACCTCCAGCTCTGCGACTCTTCCCCTTGCTCTCTCCACACCACGCATCTTCCCCACGTCCTGTTCCCTTCGACACATTCTTCACCCAGATATCCACATCTCGCTTCCTATCTGACTTCCCACAGGGCTCTGCTCCAGTATTTTCTTATCAGAGGGGCCCTTCCTGACCACCTTATGCAAAACAGAGAGCTTTACTCTCAAACTCTGACATACTATACATTTCCTAGTTTATTTTCCTTCCATCCACTAGAATACAGCCTCCACTAGGCCAAAGATGTTGTTTTGTTCGCTGCTGTTCCCTCCGTACCCAGCAGGGGGCCAGCACGCAGTGGATCTGCAAGAGGCACCTGCTGAACCAATGCACGTGCTTTTGAACTAAAGAGGTACACAGGAAGAGTTTACCTACCCTTTTCATCACTGAGCCCTAGCTGCCCTGCGTTATTCATCCCCCAGCCAAAAACAGCTCCTGAGAGAGACAGGGCAAAGCTGTGAGCCCCTCCTGCAGCCACCTGGGCCAGCGGGATCCCCTCCAGGGACCTCACCCTCTGCGGGCTGGCTTGGGAGGGGAACTCCTTCCCCAGGCCCAGCTGCCCATGGCTGTTCTTGCCCCAGGTGAAGAACTGGCCATCTGAAATAAGAATAGGATACCTGGTATTACAAAAAATGATACAAATTCTATACACAGGAATTATCTAGTTATTAAGATCATTTATTAGTTCCCCCACCCCCCCATACCAAACCTACCCAAGAGCAAGGGAGCAGAGACATGTCATGCTGTACCACTGCCAAAACCAAAGCTCCACTTGACATGACAACAGAGAGATAAGCTGAGTCTTAATGCCCTTCAAAGACTATCAACATTTATGCAAAGGAAATATTAAATGTTTAAGTACATTCAATTTTGAACAGGCCAATTACCAGGCATAAGCAAGGTGAACTAGTTCTGACCACACTAGGACCACGAGACCCAGGACTTCGGAAGGTCTACCTATGACCACTGGGACTGCTCTGTAGATGATCAAAGAGGACATACAAGTGCAGATTTACTCCAAGGAGTCCGGTATTATTTGCCAACTTAAGTTTCTCTAACTTCTTCTTTTTCATTTATTTTGGAGCTTGATAGCAGAATGTAGCTTGAGAGTAGGCTGTAGCTAAGAAAAACCAATCTTCTACATGCTCAAGAACACCCAGGTACGGTCCTCCTCCTGCTCATCTTCCCCTGAGAGAGCTGGAGCAGCAACATGACCGCCCACTTCATCATCTACACCCTAGAAAAGGATGAACTATGCAAATGCTATCTGAGAACTGTCACGTATAACAGCAAGGCACACACCCTAACCGTTAATTAAAGGCTTTGAGTTAGATAATATCACACAAAAATGCAAGGAGAAATGTTTTCAAAATCAACATATAATAAGCATTAGCATGTATTTAATGTTACATTACCAGCTGCAAGAGCCAAGCAATGCCAGTTGCCACAGGAAACTTGTAATATCGTCTGCTGGTTCAGCTTTTGTATTAACCTAAAACAGAAAAGGCTTTCTTTTTAAGATGGGCATTCACACACAAACACTACTATCAGAAATACTCTCAACTAAATATTTGTAATAAATAATATCTTGCCTGAAAGATTTTTTAAAATCAAATATATAGTTTTACATGATATAATTTTATTAGGTCTTTCACTAGCCTCCAGCCTCATAGGTAATTACTGTTTAAAACAAAAAAACGAAAACACTTTTGCACTCAGACCTCGATCCTCTGTTACTTCCTACCCTGCCATCTCCAATCTCCAATTCAGGAACGAATGGAATAAGCTACAGGAGAGAGATCCCTGAGAATATGCTTGGTGTCTAAATGGCCTCTGAAATAAGGGCAATGCCATGATCCAGCAATTTCACTTCTGGGTATATATCTAGAAGAATTGAAAGCAGAATCCCAAAGAGATATTTGTACACCCAGATAGCAGCACTGTTCACAATGGCCAAAGGGTAGAAATAACCCAAGTGACCACTGATGAATGAATGACTAAACAAAATGTGGTACATACATACGATGGAATATTAATTAGCCTTAAAAAGGAAAGAAATTCTGACACACGCTTCAATATGGATGAACCCAGAGGATATTGTGCTAAGTTATTTTATCAGCAACCATTTCCCAAGTCTTTTCTAAAAACATTGTGAAGATAATACTGACAGAAAGGAATCGGTGAAAACAGCTTGTTAAAAACCTCTGACATGTCCAATGAAGGATTTATTATAAATTAATTAAAAATAAAAAATTTAAAAAACCTCAAAAAAACAACCATTAAAATCATTTAATAAGCTAGTCACAAAAAGTCAAAACTGTATGAATCCACTTATATAAAATATGTAGAGTAGTCAAATTCACAGAAATAGATTTTGTAAGATAAAAAAAGTTCTTCAGATGTGAACATACTTCACACTAATGAACCACACACTTTAAAATGGTTAAGGTGGTATATTTTATGTGTATTTTATCACAATTTCCTAAAAAATAGGGGCAATACCTCCAAAACCCTAATTCCCTAGAATAGTAAAGAGAAGGATTATATGATTTCTTTTCAAATCTTATTCCTTCTGCTTGCTCATGTGAAGAAGAGAGATAAGAACAGCACCTACTTTACAGGTTGGTGAGAATTAAAATTTCCACATAAAGTGCTTGGCCCTGCCCAACAGAGATGGGCATTCTAGGAATAGCTCCTGTTCCCTGTTTTAACAGTCGACAAGTGCCATGCCCACGTGCAGTAAATGCATTATGCCATGGGAGCAAAGGGGTCAGATAAATACCCCTTGAGGAGAGGGGTATCAGAAGGCAGATGTCCCATGGAGGAGGGGACAGAGGATTACTCAGTGTGGCAGGTACTGCTTTTGTTAATGTTTTATTATCTCAAGATATAAACATGTAAAATAGAGCTCATAAATTCATTCGGTACCAAACAGAAATGAACTAATTTTTTATTGAGATAACTGTAGATTCGCACGTAGTTGTAAGAAATAATAGAGACACCCCTTACACACTTTGTCCAGGTTCCCCCAAAGGTAACATTTTGCAAATCCATAGTACAATATTACAACCAGGATATTGACATTAATACAATCTGCCAATCTTACCCATACTCCCCAATTTTGCTCGTACTAATTCTTGTGTATAATTTTACCATCTGTGTAGGTTCACGTGTCCACTGCTGCAGTGAAGACACTGAACAGTCCCACCACCGCAAGGATTCCTCGTGTTGCGCTTTTATAACCTCTCCTCCCCTGCCCCGTCCTCAGCCCCTGCAACCACTAACCAATCCTCCTTTCTAAAATTTTGTTATTCTTAAAATTTTACATAAGTGGAATCATACAGCAGGCAACCTTTTGGAATTAGCTTTTTTCACTCAGAATATTTCTCTGGACATTCATTCAAGTTGTGTTTATCAATGTTTTGTAGAACACCATTATTTTCTAAAGTTGGAAAACGCATTACTGCCTGGTGGACCAACGTTTCAGAGGCTGCTACGCACTAACAGCCCTTTTTCCCATCCAGTTTCCACTCAAATTCCCCACGCTGCCCCCTTGATGGGTCACTATCAGTTACAGAAGGAAGCAAGTCAAAAAGACAAAGATAAACAACAGGGAAATCGTACCCTTGGGGTGGAGAGGAGGGTATACACAGTGCAAGTACATGCTGTGTTTTACCCACTCAGCTCATTCCATCCTCTCCATAACTCCATAAGGTATACGATATACAATTCCATTTTTAAGCTAGGAAACTGTGGCTTAGAAAAGTTAAAACAATTTTCCCAAGGTCATTCACCTTATAAGTAACAGAGCCAGTATTAGAATCCAAGGCTGTTTGATTTTAAAGCTATGTTACTTTCCATAATACCAAGGTATGAATTAATGAATTTATTTAAGTTATAATAAATTATATACAAACCAAAGCCTTGGATATACGAATCATCCATAATTTGGACATAAGTAATGAAAATTAAATTGCTACTGTAACACAGATTACTTCATTTTTAAAAAGGAAATGTCATTAAAAACCTTTATCGAGTCTTTGGTCATCAACAAATGAAATACTTTTGTCATTAATGTTATAAATCTTTTCCCTAATATCACACACAATTTAACCAAAATCTTACACTCCTTTTTTCTTACTACCACTTTCCCTCTCCCCCCAAAATTAAATTAATTTTTTAAAAGAAATGAATCTAAGACATTACCTATTCCACATCAGGAAATGAATCAAATCAGTCTTACCTCTATGTTCCTCTTTTCCTTAAAACACCTTTTGATTAACGAGACAAAAATCTAAGAAGGGTAAAAAGGACGAGGAAGGAGAATATATTGTCCTTTAAAGGGGACAATAATTAAGCAGGCGAGGAGAGGCCATTTATTAAACAAACTAGTACAGAGCGACGTAGGTGCCGAGCACTCTCAGCAAGGATGCTAAGATGAATGATCCAGTTCTGCCACCAAGAGCTCACAGCTTTGTAATAAAAATAGACGTTAAGTAAATAATTACAAACAACGTGACATGTACAATAGGGGTATGTGGTATAGTTTTAGTATAAAAGAACAAGAATTAAATGAAGGGAATAAAATGGTAGCCTCTTTGATTATTAAGAACCCTCAACAAACTGGGACATCACCCCCAAAAAGTCCACCTAAAAGTAACTTCGATGTTTTGGATGTTTTCTTAATGGTAAAGCAACTGTTAAATATTAGCTAAAGCATCTAACATTTATGTCTAGGTAATTATTAATATTTAAGAGACTCAAAACCACTGTATTAGTATTTTTGTGTTAAAGAATCTCTGTATATTTGGTATTTTCGCTATTTATAATGCTTAAGGTGATTTGGCCTATTATTAGAGTAATAGGCCAGCTTCGTGATTCTGAAGTGCTTAATTGAGTAATTGAGACTCGCAATTTTAGGTTGAAAGTTAATAAGTCTAGGATATGAAAAAGGTGCGCTTCCCAGCCAAGCATTTATCGAGTGCCAGGCACGCAGCTGGCAACCAGGTTATCGGAACAAATAACGTACAGTTCCTGGTCGGCTCACATTTTTGAACCGGAGACATTCACTTCCACAAATAATTACAATTTCTGTGACAAGTGCTGTAACAGTCCAAGGCGAAGCAGGAGCACAAAGCAAACAGCAATAGGTTAAACGAAGAAAGCAGAATGAAAACAAGGAGTCTCACAAAGTGCCAGCAGGAAATAGTATATAAAACAATTGACATCTGAATCCTAGATTCCCGTCTGTGACATTCTTACCTGGGCACTGCCACAGAATCCTCAGTGGTCATGAGTCCTAGTTGACCATCACTCCCTGCACCCCAAGAAAACAGCTGGCCCCGGTCACTGAGGGCCAGACTGTGGGACTCGCCACACGCCACGTGAATAATGTGCTGATCTGCCAAAGCTCCGATTTGTTCTGAAAGAGACCAAACCAAAGGAGGAAAATGCACAGCCCAGAAACCTTTACACGGAGTTCTCTCTCCAGGCAGTTTTGTTTTTTGTTTTTGTTTTTTTAAGAGAACCACTAAACATGTGTATTTACAGAGATCATAAATGTTATGTATCTCTAAGCACTATCGATTTAGATTCTGCTACACTGGCTGTAATACCACATGCATCCCAAGCATTCCCTGGACCTATGCAGCCAAGCCTGAAGGCTTATTAGTTGGAGACGCCGAATCAGAGAGGCCCAAATGTGAGTGGAAATGAGGCTTATTCCTAAAAGTAACGGGACTAAGTGAAATTCGGCTTGGAACAATGAGACTCACTCCGCACCCCACACGCACATTCAGAATTCTAAACACTGTTCTCCCCTCAGTTCCAGAACACAATCTTGGAAGTATCCAGCCAGGAGACAGGAGGATTTCTCTCCGGGAAAACTGGCCAAGAAGAAAAGACCCACAGACACTGACATCTGTGGGTCCCTCAATGAAATGTCCAGCTTCCCAACAAGAACTGCCCACACGGCACAGCTCCGCTCCCTCTTAAATACTAGAGGCCAGACAAGGACCGCCCATTGTACGAGAAAAACTTTAACATGAAAGACAGAGAGCAACACAAACAGAAGAAAATGAACTCTAAAGAAAAAAGATTGTGCAGGAGCAAAAAGTTTTTTAAAAAGTCCTTACTTAGAGAAATAAAAGATTTTTCAATCCATGAACTAGCCAGAGAGTGCTACAGAAAGGTAACATTCAAACAGAAAACAAAAATAACTTGGAAGCTAAAAATGTGGCCGTTTTCATTTTAGAAAAAAGCTTCAAAAGCAGGATTAGAAGTTAGAATTGATGAAATTTTCTAGGCAATAGAACAAAAAAGCAAAGAACAAATCAGAGGGGAACAAGGATAAGAAATTATGTGTTTGCTCCAAGAGGTCTAACATCTGAAAACTAGCAGCTCCAGAAAGAGAATGGAGAAGACACAAGGTAGAAAATTTCAAAGAAGAGCTGGGCGTGGTGGCGTGTGCCTGTAGTCCCAGCTACTCGGGAGACTGAGGCAGCAAGATTGCTTGAGCCCAGGAGCTCGAGGCTGCAGTGAGCTACTGTTGTGCCACTGCACTCCAGCCTGGGTGACAGAGTGAGGCTCTGTCTCAAAACAAAACAAAAACGAACAAAAAATGACTGTCCTATCTGCAGATGTGATTGTATACCAAAAAAAAATTTTTCTCAAAGAAATACAAGAAAATTTCTCATAACTGAAGGATATATGTTTCACACTAAAAGGATCTATTAAGTGCCCAGATAATAATAACCAATAAAAACCTACTTCAGAGCACTTTGTCTTAAAGTTTCAGGAAAAGAAAGATCTGAAAAGTTTCTACAAAAGAAAACAACAGTTTATGTACCATAGAAAATAGGTCAGAAGGGTGTCAGATTTCTCAGAAGCAACACGGAAAACTATAAGACGCCAGAGCGAAGCCTTCATAATTCTGAAGGAAAATGACTTCCAATCGAAAATTCTACCCCCGACCAACCATGAATCAAAAGTAGGGAGAGTGGGGGAATAAAAGACAATTTCCAGGCATGTAAAGCTCTCTAAATATTTTATCCCCCATACTGCTTTTCTCAGAAAGCTACTGGAAGATGTGCCTCCAAAACAAAGAACTCAGGATCCAGAAAACAGGAATCTTACACAGGAAAGAGGTGAAGAACGTTTCTAAGACAGCTACGTAGCAGGCTTACAAAGCAAAGTTGGAGGGATGTCTCCAAGATGAAAAATGAAATATTAGCAGATGGGTTTTATAGTATTACAAGTTTTATAATGCTATCAGAGAGTATAGAGTTTGCCATGCAAAAGGGAAAAAATGATGTAGTTAACTTCAGGAAAATCTAAATGTTTTATAGGAAAGAAAAGCAATCATGGTACATGAAGTCATAATAACCAAACAACAATAATTTACCTAGTTAATAACTGAATAGTCAAAATTAATTTAAAAGATTACGTGGGGAAGGATCAGTGTCTCAGGGTGAAAAAGAGGAAAGGGTGGGGAGAGAATACAGAATAATCCTAATTTTCCCCAGTGTGAAGTTTCAAGATTATATCCAACATGAAAAAAAATCAAGAAATAGCATTATAAACATGTTATTTAGAAACATGAAGGTAAATAGCAAAAGAAAAAGTTAAAGAGTTGAAGTGATAGCCCCTGGGAGTAAGATTCAAGGGTGGGGACAGGTGAGGCAGGGAACTGCTATTTGATCTAAACACAGTTTGTATAAATACATTAGTTGAAAACCATAAAACATTTTTTAAAATTAAGCAACTGAAAATATGCTCATGTCAGAGAAATCAGCATACACAGTAAATAGAAAGATGCTGTAATTCCTGTTGTTTCCACTGTCTATCTTCTATTTCCCAACTCAGCCTTGCTCCAGGCACGAACAGTCCTGTCTTTACTTTGCAAAATATAAGGAATCTCTCATTAAAGTAGCTCAAAGCAACTGAGACTCTCCTCTGACCAAATTTCTACCTTGTACAGGTTCCAGGACCGGGGCAGCCCTTCTGTCCTCCCAGGCCTAGGACCTGGCCTGATACCTCACTCGGGACTGATGCCCACCTCTTAGTACCTGACCTTCCTGCTGCCAACTGTAGCCGTTCCTGCCGGGATGTTAGCATATGGCCTAACACGACACTGGTAGGCTTCTCCACTGTCCTGACAAGACACTGTCTGATCTGTCAGATTTTCTCACCCCAAAAATCTGTCACTAGCATCCCTCCTGAATTAGTCTCTAGTACAGCTGAGAAATCTCAAAAGGGAACATCTAGATTCCAATGACCGTTTACTCCCAGTTGGGTCAAGCTCTAGACAAACCAATTCCTGTCCCATCACACAGCCACCAAAACAGACAGCGAGCCACCCTCCCCACAACAAAACCTGCAGCCGCAAAGGCAGAGTTACTGTTCAGTAATGAGAACGCTTACGGAGAACTAAACCACTGGATACACAAAAGTCCAACTTACTCTATTTCTTCTGGACAGAAAACTGCTCACTGATTCAGGCTGGGGATCTGTCACTGCAGAACTATAATCTCTCTTCCAGAATCTACTCCCTAGACTGGCCAGTGTGACAGTGAAGCCTCATTCACTCCTCTCCCTGAATACGCCCCTGCCCCAGTTGGGAACATGCGGGCTGCGGTGCCTTCTGATTCATTTTCACATGCAGTCTCTTCTGATTCATTCTGTCAAGAGCATACGCCATATTTTGCAGATCATGACAGAACTTCAACCCACGCGTTAAAATAATTAAACACACTGAAGAAACGTTTGGCATTTTTTGAGGATAAAAGTGTATTTTCTCTCTGATCCTCTCACAGCAACTTCGAAGTATTTAGAAGTGTTTAGTAATGTTACCAACTCCGAACAAGTGGGAATAGGGCAGCGCAGTGGCCAGTGTGGAATGCTGCTTAGAATAAGTCAGCAGTACAGCTGCACTTACATGTTTAGGATTGTTTCTACCTGGCTTTTGAACTCATCATAATTTTTTCTGAGTTAATGGTAAATGTGACATTAAACCATCAAAGGATGGTAATAGAGAAGGATGATATGATCCCAGAGACTAGACGGATGATACTGATAGTTAATCCTTCCAACAGCCCTGTGAGGCAAGGGCACCATACTTGGCTCAGAAAGAGTGTGTCATTTGGCTGAGGTCCCCAACTAACAAGTGGCAGAGCCAGGATGGATACCAGGTCTATCAGACTTCGAAGCCCATTATACCCACTAAGCTACACTGTCATCCCTCATAGAAAAGAACTGGATAGGTTTTCTACTGGTAAAAGTAACCTATAAAGCGAATACTCTACTTATGGATAATGGGAAATTAACTCTTCTCCCTTGTCATATGTTCAGATGAGAAACACGCTCAACGGCTTGCAGTTAATAGTATGAGCAGCTGCGTGGCAAGTACAGTAGTCCCCCCCTTATTCTGAGGTTTCCCTTTCTGCAGTTTCAGTCACCCACAGTCAACCACAGCACAAAAATATTAAATGGAAAATTCCAGAAATAATTCATAAATAGTTTTAAACTGCATGCCATTCTGCATAGCTTGATGAAATCTCACGCCATCCCATTCCATCCTGCCTAGGATGTGAATCATCCCTTTGTTCAGTA